ACCCAAACCAAACCCAAACCCAAACCCAAACCCAAACCCAAACCCAAACCCAAACCCAAACCCAAACCCAAACCCAAACCCAAACCCAAACCCAAACCCAAACCCAAACCAAACCCAAACCCAAACCCAAACCCAAACCCAAACCCAAACCCAAACCCAAACCAAACCCAAACCCAAACCCAAACCCAAACCCAAACCCAAACCCAAACCCAAACCCAAACCCAAACCCAAACCCAAACCCAAACCCAAACCCAAACCCAAACCCAACCAAACCCAAACCCAAACCCAAACCCAAACCCAAACCCAAACCCAAACCCAAACCCAAACCCAAACCCAAACCCAAACCCACCCTCCGCCTTAACCAAATCCAAACCCAACCTTATCAAACCCATGTAAAGAGACTAAGACCACAATTTTTCAAACACTCCAAATCAACATTTATCAATTATCTCAGCAAGTATCAATATACATTCAATAATATTTCATAGACATGTTGTCATATACATTATAAACATGATATATCAATTACATAAAGAGTAGTGAACATCATCACAACATATAAAGAAAATGTCACAATTTTTTCTACGTTTCATATCACACCAAGCACACAACAATACACAACACTTCTAAATGATAGGACTCACACTATGACATAACTACTACATGACAATGATAGAATATTTAACATTCATTACAAACATCTCATCCACCATGACATCAAATTTTTTTCAAATGATTAAAGCATTACTCAACAAATACAACTAATAGATCAACACAATCACTATCACGTGATCACACCATCATGACAAGCATGTTTATCAACTTGAATGAACATTCAAACAACTATGTTTCATCTCATCACTCTTCATGAACAACTTTGAACACTCATCCATTTGGTGATAACAACGAACATGGTAGACGAATCCAATACTGTTGAAGGACACATCTACGATCACTACAAATGATTTCAATCATGATTCCGTCATCACAACATCAAACAACACTGATCAATCACAACAACATTTTTTTGGAAAAATTCTAAATGCGGAAGTATAGGGTTAGTAAATCCAGACAAAATTCAAAATCAAGATGACATGAACATTGACGCATATCAACCACATACACCATACATTTCACATGCACTGATCATGAAAATCAATGAATTAATTCTTTATTTTCAATGCAGCCTTCATAAATCAACACAGGCTATCCATGAAAAAGTGTCAAACATGACCTGACAGAATCCTTCCATCACACAATACTTCACAACAATCCACAACATCAATAATAACACAATGGAACAAGATCAACACATGGATGATTGCAACTATTCAAGAAAACAACCATGTGTCACATTGTAATGCACTTCATGACAAAATCTTCTCAGGTGCTCAACAACAATACATTCTAGACATGAACAAATTCAAGAATTAATGTCAATTTGTTGTACACCATCTCAGCTACCATAAAAACTATCTGCATCACTCTCCTGACAACTCTTCAAAAATTAATTAATAATCATTTTCCACACATCTCATGTGCCTCATAACAAAATCAATTCATATAGATAAATTCCACAAATTTCAAAATAACAATATCACACTATATACTATCATATAAAGTCACTGTGATATTCTTGAAATTATTCAGTATCGTAATATCATGTGAAAAAGAAAAATGAATTGAAAGAGTGAGACACCACTTCCATAAATTGATGATTCAGTGAGTACAATCAACATGGATGTGTCATACTCATCATGATGAACATGTTGATGTGTATTGTTCATGACACAATCGCTCTTGGAAGGATATGGTATCACACCTCTACAACATTCATCATGATACTCCACCAATAATGATCATAACCATCATCAATAGTCATAGAAATACTCTCCACAATGTATTATACAACATTACAATCATTGGTTTATCGAAAAACTTAATCAATCAATTGTTATAAAATGATCATTCAATCATACAACAATACATACCAACAACAATTCATCATGATCACATTCAACCACTCACACTCACATGAAACACTTCTACAATGATGATCATAACGTGTCATGATGATAGAATGAATGACATGAACAAGAGAGGAGAACTGTACCCTGCCTCAAGAAATGATGTTTTCCGAGAAAAGCGAAGTGCTCCCATTCAATGAAACAATCATGTCAATGAATAAAACTGATGATTTGTTGTTTGAATGATCAGAACATCCATCCATATCAATTTCATGAAGTTCTGTGAAGTGCTTGTCTCGATCGTATTTTTCAGCTCTACCATAGAGCCATCAGCACACTTCACTTGAATACCATTCACGAAATGACCATCACTTTGAACTGAATCAACGATCAATTCCATGGTTTCTGATCACTGTAACAACATTCCGATCATCAGATTCATTCCATGATCATCACATCCAACGGGAGCAATTCACAACAATTCCAACCATTACTATTTGATGATTATCATTTCCATGTGTATTCATACACACAAAATATTCCTCATAAATGTTGATCATGATGTGCACATTTGATGTGATCAATATGAATATGACATGATGATGAATGGAAACATGACCCGATGTTGATGATGATCACCTCAAAAATGCAGGGAAGTTTGGCTTCATTTTTTTTTAATTTTTTTTTGAAAAATTTTCATGTCATTTTTGACCTCGTTGAAACTCCTTCAAACTTGATTTTCTCGAAAACTACCCTAAACCTGATCGAATGCTCTATCATGACCCCCATTATTTTCGTGAGATCTACAAAAATGGTGTCGCTTAAATTCTATCAAAAATTTGAAACCTGTCACCATTTGTTGAACGACTCAACCAACTTAGCTCACTATCCAATGATGTCGCTAGCACGAATGTACTACTCTTCAAAATCTATCGAATGATGTACTTGGATCAAGGTCAACATCAAAGATGACGAAAAACCCGACCATGCACGAGAGGTCTACTTTAAGCGAATACAGTTCAATAATTACCCATAATTAATGGATGAAAGTCATATCAACACATAGATATACCTCCATCCCCGACGATTTCATAAAAATTAAAAATCCCATCATTAAGCATGTCGAAAAATTAAGATTACAAGTCAAGGCGGTCACCTATCCAAACCCTTGTTGTGCTTCAATTGGTCCCAAGCACATTCCCTGCGAATTGTTTGTCAAATTAACGAAAAAATAAGCGGCCACAACGTCTCACCTCGGTTATGTTATCACAGCAATCATCACAAATAATTAATAAAAATCATACTACTTTGCCACAACAATCACAACAACTACCTTCGGATGAAACTCAACAAACAAAATCATCGGAGCAACAAATCATCATGTCACAAGATGAGCTGCGGAATTTAAAAGAATTACGCAACAATATCATATTAAAACATTCGGAAGGAATCTGCTGAGCGTTAAAACTGAACAGTTCTACGAACAATAATTCATCAGCCGAAACCAAGGAATCCAAGAAAAGGAAGAAATCAATGACATCACATAGATTAATAGAGAAATCAGAAAAAAGAAAAAATCAAATGTTTGAGAAGAATGCAACAAGTTCGCAAGGAATATAAATTTATATACATTTATTCTGTGACGTGTGTCAGATTCCCTCAAGCTAGTGCTCTCATTGGTTTCCTGCGGTCAAGTGCTAACGCGCTTCTTCAGGTTCAGCCCCGAGTCTAAAAGACTGGCTTCGATAATCTGACACAAGTCACACCCAAAAACTTTTTTTAATGCCAACCATGTCTCCAACACCATGCTCTCATCCGTTTCCTGCAGTTCTTAATTCAACTTGCATCGTTCTTTCTAAATTCGACATCCAACGACTTGAAATGATTTGAACTCACGGGTTCCTAAATTTCCACAATTACGTTCTTGATGATGTCAAGGAATCCGAATCTAACGCTCTCAAGGTGGAATGTAAGCTTCTTGGATTCACTTTATATATCCACACGTTGTTGATGTAGCAATAAAGCAACAAGTGCTCCTATTCTGATGTCACTCCTCCCTATATGTACAACATGTACTCAAGAATCATCAAGATTTCAATAAGGCCAGTAATTTAGTTCAACCAAATAGCCCATGACATTGAGTCAATGCATGGAGATTATCAAACATGTATTGATATGGTTATGCCAATTGGTCAATACCCTGCAACTGATATGTTTTTTCAATTGAATCACAATCTTTACTCTCCGTTTAATATTGACGAAGTGATGCTTTTAGTGATGACAAAGCCTTGAATTAACTTATGTTGTATTAGGGAAGAATCAAACCCAAAAAAAACAACTAAATCGCTTTCAGACCGACATTACTCATGAACCGTAACCACACGTCAACATCAGCTTCGGACAAGAAGAAGGCTAGCACAAACATTGACCCAAACCTCCAGCAAAAATCAAAGCCTTCTTCACCTTCTTCTACTAACAACAAGAACAATGCCAAATCTGCTTCTTCTTACGGAATCATGATTCAGGAACATCTCAAGACGTATTTGGAAAAAGGTGAAAAGGGTACTTGGGAAGAACGTGGAAAATTGATTCAGTACGCCACTCAATTTTCGAAAAAGAATTATGACATGATTGTCCAATTATTTGGTCCTATCGTCTCAAGACTTCGCACTGAATGGATGATGTATTGTACATATAAGAATTTATATGAGGCTGAAGTTCCTCCTAATGGTGCCCGTCCTTCATTGCTTAGTCACAACACAGTTTACAGGAATATGTTTGACAATCTATGTCCACAACACAAGATGAGTTTGGTGTCCAATTTAATGTCTAATTTCGTTCATAGAAAAGTATTGTCAGTCCAGTACTTAGACTTTAACAAGAAGGGTGATGCAGAAAATTCATTTGAGTTCGAAGAGAGCATTAAATTGAATGAGGCAGATGACAAACTTGACACTTTTGCAACTCTTCAATTTCTTCAAGACCTCATTATCAAGTGCATCGATGTGGAAATCATTTGGTATGGCTCGTATGAAATGAGGAAAAGATTGGACCCTTCTTTTAATCCAGTAACAGTATGTAATGTTGTAAAGTATTCTTGTTTTTCCATCACAATACAATCGATGACAATAGGCTGCGTTTCCACCATTGGCGCTTAAGAATGCAGAAATGAACATGAAACACTCCATTGAGAACAAGAGGATCAAGTTCAATCGCAAGAACAGAACCGCTTTAGCATCAAAAGAACACGAAGAGATTGAAGCACAGAGTGACAACCAAACCACCCACGACAGTACACGTCAAATTCTATTTAAGGAATATCAAGACATTCCTCATGAGCATGCTGAAATGATGAAAGATACACTCCCGCATAGATATACCGTCAGAAAGATGATTGCTGATTTAGTTTTCAACAACTTTGTTGACAACGAAGACAAGCCCAAGATATCAAAGACACTACACAAGAATGAGTGTTTTTCTGATTGGATTTTGATGATTGCTGCTATATTCAACCATGTGCTTCTAGTTTATGTTCCAGATTCAATTCATGATTTAATCACTGTTGACATACCTTTAGATCCATTAGCATCTGAATTTGATTTCCAAGCCAAATGGATCAAAGACAGACAAGCAAAGTACGAGGCTACTTTTTCAATCGATCGTGTATCAAAGGATTTTAAAAGGTTGTTAACATACGGACCTAAAGAAAAGTTATGTTCTTGTTGCCAAGGTCGTAGAGAAGCACAAGACTCGATATTACCTTTGGTCCATCCAGCCAAATACAGAATGAAGTATAGAATGAACTGCGCTTACTGTCGTAGCAAGCTTGGAAAGTATTTATGTGCCTCTTGTCATGTTGAAAGATATTGCAGTGTTGAATGCCAAAAAGCTCACTGGAAGGATCACAAGCATCTTTGTCATGACATTTGCGCTATGGATAACATTAGAAAAGAAGTACTTGCTCAGTTTAACAAGGAAGAGAATCAATAATTCTTTTATTTCGTTCCACCACCATAATGTGAAGTATTCTTTGATGCGAAAAACATTAAATTTCATTAACAATAGCTTTACCCTCAACATGCTCATGTTTAAGGCTAATTCGGTGGTTATTTTAAGAAATTGCCTTTGTTGAACAACTTCAAAACTGTTCAAAAAAACCGCCTTCGTTGTTTGGTCGTGTTATTCAAAGCCTTCTCCATTCAGCAGTTGCCTTCAAGCAGATACCTCCAATTAAAAACTCATCATGCCTTCTAGTGGTGTCAAAATTGCATCATCCCTAGCGAAAGAAGCCCAAGACGACATCAACTTGCGAGCGAACACAACATGGGAACAAACAAGCAACAACAAAAAAATACATCATCAGCAACAATCATGTAGCCCTTTGAAGCCTCCACGTCCTTCATCTTCTGAATCCGTTGCTGTGATCAAGGATCCGTTCTTGTCCTTGCATCCTATAAAATTGAAAATTGAAACACAGAGTCTTTGGGAACGAGATTCTTCAACGAGTCAGTGCCGAGTCGTCATGAATTGGCTGACAACATTTGATTGTTTTTCCGTTTCAGCAACAGCAAACAATATTGTTCCCGAAAGAACAACAATTACATTGGACAAACACTCTTCACCAGTTTCTCATAAAAATCCACAACATTATCGGTTAAATGATGTCAATTTGTACAAAATTTTATGTGAGATTGATGATGATTTTTATCATGCTCTGAATGAGTTCATTGATGTTGATAGCGAAAATATGAATAGTATTTCTGTAATATTCTTGTACAAATGTATGGCATTACTGACCTGTTTCTTTCAAAGCAAGTACGATATTTGGATTGATTTGAAAGAATTTACAAGTAGTTCCTATCAATTGTTGCAAGATATTCATGGATGCAACCATGAAGACTTAGAAATCAAACTGAAGGAACAGCTATTGAAATTTCTTCAATATCTAGTATGCACTGTATTCATATCCAAAAATAATGAAAAATTAGTGAATAGAATTTTAACGTTGGATTTTTTTGCTCAAAAAGAGCTTGCTCAAATGGTCAAGGAGGTGATGGAAGGTCCAAGAAATGAGTGTCAACATTCTTTTAATGATGTTCACATTCTTTTCGAACTTGTACGTCACGCTGTCAACAACCGATATTGTACACTTCAAAAAACCATCTTTCTCAATGAACAAATTATTGAGAAACAGCATCAAGAGTCTGTGCGAATGTATTTGGAAAATGTAAATTTACAAAAAGCAAATCAATATTTGAGAAGTAATCTGGAGGAAGTTGTAATGAATTTTAGCATGGAACGAACTAACCTTTTGGAAAAGCTCGGTCATTTAGAATCACAATTCGAAGAATATCATGTTTTTAAGAAAGCATACGAAAAATATGACCTTATTTCTCAAGAAAACTTGAAACTCAAGCGACAACTCAACGACCTTACTTTGGAAATACACAAGATACGAGAAGAGAGTTCTAAACAGCCGTTCAAAACTGAAACACCTAATTCCAAAAGGCACGTCAACAGAAATAATCTCTCACCTATGAACGAAGATTCATTGTTGACAGCAACTGACAACAATCCAGTGGTCGACTATTTCGAAGAAGAAATGCGAGAACTAACAAGTGCCATACAACAAATGAACCTGGAAATGAATCAGAAAGACAGCAAAATTGATGCACTTGTAAATGAAAACAAACACTTGAAGGTATTAGCTGCAAATTATCAGAATAATAACCATGCGATACAACCAAGTCTTGGTCACGCCTCAGCATTGCCAAATGTTGAAACTCATTCCTGTATAAGCCTGTATGATGATTTGAAATGTATTATTGAGGAAAGGCAAACCCAAACACTGCAAGTACAGCAAAAACAACCTCCTCCAGAACCAATTCTAAAGATCAACATGTCCACCCAAACTCCAAGAATTCCTACAATCTACACACATTCACAATTCACATCCACCAAAGATTTAATTTCTACCAAAGACTTTAACATTCAACTCAACGACAGTGATTTGTTATCAAGACCTTCGCCCGCAGATATTTGTTTGAATTCTCCTTCTCCACCAATTCCGTCACAACTTGCCATCATTTCAAACCATTTAGCACAAGCAAATACAGCAATACTTGCTGACAGATTTAAGGACTTCTCCACTTCGGAAGCAATTCATGCAGCTAAACTTGAAAAATCTCAAAACCGTAAAATCAGAATGAACAAGAGTGCGATGACACCTGCCAAATCAAAAAAGACATTATCAGACTTGACCACAAAATCATCCTCTTCACCCATCATGGTACAATCAAATGCCTACGTTGATCCAAAGAGTTTGCCTTACTTTGACAATCAGTACCGAGTTTTTATTCAAGAGCATTCTTATGAACGTTTTCGTTGAGGGAGTGCGTCAACGTGCTGATGGCAAATTGGGTAGATTGAGAAACGGAACATGTGTATGAACTGCTTTGGTTAGAAGGTTTGTTTGAGTCCTTTTGGAGCAACTCGTGTTGATGGAAATCGAAAATTATTATTAAAAAAAAATAGAACCACCGATCTTGATCGCCATCCGTACACCAATACAAATTATCTCTTCCGAGAAAACAAACATTGCTTTCATTGTACATCAATTCTCGTTGAAACACTTTTTCATATGCCTGTACATACCATTCGGGATTTGAATAACAACAACGACACGAATAATCCTAACAGAGGACAAGCACCCGTTCCTCCAGGTTGGGGTAACTCATCAGGAGGTACTAGTGGAGGAAGGACTCTTGGTGGTAGTGGCGGTAGAACTCTTGGGGATTCATCATCCTCTTCATCGACCAGACCATCTACTGGAAGAGTGTTACAATCGGGAGAAGCTGTTTCCTATCAACCATCTTCAGCCAATTATGCAGATGGAGGTAGCGGTGGAGGCTTTTTTGCAGGATTCAGAAACATGTTTTCAGGTAAGCTTTTATACACAATAATTACTGATCATTCACATCGGAATTTCGTTTGCAATAACAAAAATCATAACTGAATGGATAATTGTAAATTGTGTTGTATTCATACATTTAATATACACTTATGATGAAATGATACAGGTTTCGGTAGAAGCAGCAATACAAATTCAAGTGGAGGAAGTTACACTGCCACAGGCCAACCTGTGGATGTTGAGACTGGCGGAGGTGCAGCCACCATTTCCAATGATCCTTATCAAAATCAATACAATATGAACGAGGACATGTTTTGGAGTTATAATTTGCACAATATTCAGCCTCAATGGTATCACGTAAGTTTGATGATTGAAATTGAACGTATTTGTGGAATAAGCCAATACAATCATATCACACCGCTTAAACACGAATACCATCATAATCAAACTCTTGCGTGGATCTGTATCCAATAGATGTGTTTAATGTGTTGTTGCCCATGTTTTGTTGGTCCACCATGCTCACCTGTCAGAAAACAAGATTACAAAAACATGTTAATGACATTCTGCTTTTGGATCTCAATCATACAATTAATTTATTTTATTGTCGAGTTATCGGTTGGTGGCTTTGATCCACAAAATCCTTCCATTGGTCCTTCAAGTGTAACTTTGTTAAAATTGGGTGCCAAGAGTTCCTACTACATCAAAGAAAAATATGAATTATGGCGTTTGGTAGTGCCACTCATTATGCATGCTGGCATTTTGCATATTTTCATGAACTTATTTATTCAAATCATGGTTTGTATGGGCTATGAAAAGAATTGGAGATGGTACAGAGTGATACCAATCTATTTCGTTTCAGGAATTGCAGGAAACTTATTGAGTTGTGTTGCCATGCCAGCCTCAATTTCTGTGGGAGCCTCTGGGGCTATCATGGGCTTAATTGGAGCCAAAGTTTCAAACATTATAGTTCGATGGACCAGAATCCCCACTCAACAGAAAGTAATGCAATGTATCAATGTTGGAATTATTATTTTCATTACTCTATTGTGGAGCTTTAGCGATTACATTGATTGGGCCGGCCATATTGGTGGATTAGTGACGGGTTTCATTTTAGGATTTGCATGCTTTGCCGTTACCGAAATTCAAGACCGCATTTACAAGTGGACCATTTTCAGCGTTTCTGTTGGATTGACTTTGGTTTCTTTGCTTACGTTGTCCCTCGTTTTTGGATTGGTCACCGATGTTTCGAAATATGCACCAATGATTTAAACTATGAAATCACGTTTTGTTGCGAATTTGTAATTACCTTGTAAATTTTTTTCAAATAAATAAATAGACTCTAAAACAAAGGCATATCAAACTGATTCATTGAATTAAAACTTAGTACAATATTAAATTAAATCTTCTTCGTTTTGATTTCATTCAAAGTATCTTGTGCTTTCAATAATGCGCTCAGTAACTTGGATGCAGCTTTTCTCTTTTGGGCGATTGCCTCGTTTTCCTTCAACAACTCGTCGAACAATTCTGGCTTGTAAAGATTACGAACAAGCTCACTTTGCAAGTTCACCTTGGATTTGTTAACCAAAAAGTGCATAACGGATTTAGGGACGGAGTCTATTGAAAATGATGATTGAAACCAATATTCAGTCACAATTAATTATTCTGCTTCAATTCACTTACCTGACACACCCTTTCTTACAATATCAAAATAATGCTGCAATAATGTCTTGATCGTTTCAGTTTCCTTCTTTTCTCTTTCCTCAAAGTTTGTCAAGAAGGCAGCTGTAGGATTTTGTTGTGGCATATTTGCATAGGGATCCTATTTGTTGAAAAAGTAATCATGTCATGTAACAATATAGTGTCAGTAAAAATTTTCAATATTATAAAATATGAAAATAAAAAAAGTGAATGCAAACCTCGAAATTTTCTTGACCATAATAATCGACATTCTCATTCTGAGGAGTTGGCTGACTGTATGCTTGATTTGGCGGACTGTATTTAGTTGGTGGAGGAGGTTGTTGGGTAGGTTGTTTTTGGGAGGTTTGGGTTCTTGACTTAGGTACGTTCTTTGGTAACGAAACGTTAACTTCCACGTCTTTGTTGGTGTTGACAGTAACGCTTCCGGTAACATTGTCGAAAAATGAACTGTCATTATCTGCGTAATATTGGTGTTGCAACATTTCATTTTTCATAGTAACGATCAGCAAATTGTTAGTAACAATATAATTAAAATACATACTTTTCTTTTCGTCTTTTGCATGTCCTGTGAAAAAACTGAAAATACTTTTGGCAACGCCTCCTCCATCTTTTGGCTCCTTGCTTGAAGAGCCTTGACCCTTTAAACTGTGTTTCACATGAACCTGGTTTGAATTCTTTGGTGGTGGATAGGTGCTGACTTGCTCCCATTCATTGTCTGCTGCTTCTTCATTTTCATCGTTATGTTGTTCATCCTACATACAAGAAATTAGTAATTGTGGTTAGTAAGAAAATTTAAAAATGGAAAACATATGTAAAGACAGAACAGTCGCCGTAAAGTTGGGTCAATGTCGATGTTGGTCAATAAATTTGAGGTTAACAAGGGTCAGTTAACATGCAAAGTGTATGTGTAAATGTGGGTGATGTGGATTGGTTTGATACTCACTTGTTGTTGTGACATTTGATGATGTTGTGGTGGTTGGTTCATTGGTGGAGGCATTCTTCTGGATCCTTGTTGCTGTGGTAGGTTTGATTGATTCATATTTGGTTGTTGCATGTTTGGTTGAGGCTGGGATTGCATTGGAGGAGATGCTACGTTGGCAGATTTAAGAAAAAATCGAAAATTGAAATAGACATGGTACGACAACTTACGCTTTTGTGCTTCACCCAATACACCTGCTACCTTGTTATTACTAAAGAAATCTGGATGATTCGTGTTGATATATGCCAACTCAATTTTGATCATGTTTCTAATAAACTCTTTCAATGGTTCTGCATATTCTTTCAATAATCCAATGACAAATTCGCGGGCCTTTTCTTTCAAATTAGGGAATCTCAAAAATATCTTTTCACAATGCTCCTCAATCGCAATCAATTCTTCTAACACTCGATCGACACATTGAATGCTAGGATCCTCCAAAAGTTTCACTTGTCTTTTCACAAGCATTTCAAAAGCAGCTTCTGGAATGAAGAGTGATGTTCTTGGGCCTTTAGCATTTCTAATGGCAGTCCTAATATCGTAATCAGATAAATTTTCACATGCATCAATTTCTGACAAGGACGGATAGTACTTGTTTGTAAATATGTGATTGATTCGTGCTCCTCCAAATAGTTCATTGGTTGAAACTTCTGCATTACGTCCATCAATAGTCTCTACGAAGTCAGTTGAGAAATCTGTGAGTAATTGCAATAATAAAGCTCCATTCGACATTGATGACTCTCCCAAAGGAACACCATACTCTTGCAGACGAGTTTGGGCTTGTTGAATCAAGTTAGCCACCTTACTCTTCACATCAGGTAGGACTTCTTTGATATGATTCAACAAAATTCGATTGAGTGTCTTGGCAAGATGTTTTGTTCCCATTCTATCGGAAATACTCTTATAAGTTGGATGTTGGGCAAAGAAACGTTCTTCATCTTTTAAAGCGTCACGAATGGATTTGTTTAAATTGATATCGTTTTGTGATCGACATACTACACCAATGTAGCCAAGTCGCAATGGCAAAATATCACCTCGTAATACATCCATACAATCTGTTCCTTGGTCCATGATATCAATTTTTGTCAAAACACCTATTGTTCTTGAACCATTCTTGTCGACTTCTTTGGCCAATTTGAGTGCATCGGAATTTGCAATATCCGTGTTTGCAGCTGTGACTGCAAGGATTAAACAGTTTGGTTTGGAGATGAATTTCATGATCATGTTTCTAATTTGAGCTTCGATATCTTTTGGTTGGTCGCCAACAGGTACTTTGGTAATACCAGGTAAGTCTACAAGTGTCAAGTTTAAAACACTGTGATATTAAGAAGAGCAATACGTAAATGATGCAGTGTATAAGAAGTGTAACAACATCATCATAACAATTATCATAATTGTTATCATAATAAAAAATCATCATGATGATGTGATTCACTCGGCCGAACAACTACGTACTTTGGACTATAAATTTTCAAATTAATTGGAAGATCCGAAATACCCTTGCTACTGCCAGTTACTCGATCCGTCTCTCTAATAATTTCATTTCTAATCTCTGTAAAATCGTAAAACTTCTTGTTAGGAACGTGTAAAAATTCTCCCCACTCATCTTCCGGTCCAGTGGAATCAACTTGTTTGGATGGAGTTTTATTGAGTTGAAGAACTAACGGTCTTCTCGTTACGATACCAGAACCTCTAGGTAAAAAGTCTCTACCAACAATTGTTTCCAACACAGATGATTTTCCCGATGATTGAGAACCAACAACAGCAATCTGCGGTAAATCAATTTGTACTAAATTGTCCATATTGATGGAAGCAAACGCATCCTGCAATCTATTTACAATTGGAATTAATTCCTCCATATTATATGATGACAAACAAGATGGTGGAAATGACTAAAAAATAGAGTATGAAAAGAGAGAATATTTTTTTTAAAATGCTCTTTAGAATCGTTTTCTATTTCCAGGTGGAGGAATTGGAACTGCAGTTGATTTCTAAATTGTTTATTGCTTTTGTGGGGGTGGTCGTTGATGCTTCGTTTCCATATATTCCAAATAATGATTCAGGGAATCCACTAATCCTCCCAAGGTTGGTCTTGCATGATTCTTCTTTGTTTCACGATCATGCAGTAGCGAGAGAAGATGTTGATGATACGTGTCACCATTGTCCTTAATGGTGTTAAAGTGATGCTCTGCATTGAGCCATCCCATTGGGTCAAAAATAACTGTATAAGTATATCGACAGGTTTGGTCTGTTAAATATTGAACCATGAAAGCAGTTTTGATTTCAGCTCGCACATACTTGGAAGATTCTGGAACCTTGGCATGATTAATAGATCTTGAGACACATAAATAGCGTTTCTCGGCTCTATCAAAACGACAACAATAAGCATGCACTATTTCTCGATCGGTTTGAGGGAATTTCATCTTGTAGACTTCATGAGCAATGCAATGAGCATACTTTCCAACTTTAACAAAGTCAATGAGTTCAAACGATTCAATATTTTCGTCTCTGCATCGGTAGTAATCTGAATCGATCCATAAATTGAAAAGACTCTCATAACTACAATTCACTTCATAGACATACTTGATCATGGTATGTCTTCGAGAGTTGGTCAAGTGATTGTGAGCAACCTCTGGCGAGAGCCATGTCTTTCCTTCAGGATATTCGTTGAGAATTCGCCATTGATTGTAGTCATTCAAGCTTTCGAGACGATAATTGAATTCCCAATCATTGAAACGATTATTTTCTGTTGAAATGCATATATACAAAATGTTTGTGACACTTTGAAATACGTACCTAAATTAATAATTTCAGTACCACACTTCTCACAGAATAGTAAAAATTCTTTTTCTTCTTCGGAATCATACTCATCATCCTCTGATGTTAGGTGTGATCCTTCCTCTCCTTTTGTACCCTTCAATAAACTCTTCAATAAAATTGGATCGGTAAGTTTCAAGTTTTCAATAAACGTGGAAAAAATTGAAGATTTAAGGAACTTGGGAAACTCAGGCTTCAAAGCTCGTATCGATAAATTGACAAAATTGTCAAATAGATCGGTAGCACAGTTATCTTCATTACAGGCATTAAACTTCAATTGAAATGGACCAAAGGCATTCTTCATAAACTTGAATTGCAACCGTTTTGACGCATTTTCTGCCAAATACTCATCCACTAAGTGCTTAGCAATGGAATACCGAACAGGAGTTGAACCATTCGATTTGAACTCTAACACATGTTGATAAAAGTTCAATATCTCTAATTTAGGTCCTGAAAGGAATTCCTTAAAGCAATTCAAGAATGAAGTATCGAGGATTATTTTACCGAAACGGTAACTATCAGCACGGTGTAGATCAATTTCAGAAAATGGATCTTCTAGTTTTTGTTCCAAAGTGTCATCCTCATATTCAAACAATTTCTTAATTGCTTCACTGTCTAATTTCGCTTGTTTGTGTAACCTTTCGTTAAGGAGGTAGGTCTGACAAATTCCTTTACCCTTAATGTCTAATAGTCTTTCCTCAAAACGATAGCCGTGGCCAGATACTCTTTCATAACTTGATTTTGATAGTTGAATTCTCCCCTCAATAGACGATGATTCCATCCTTGAGGCAACATTGATGGTATCTACATGAACAACGTTTAAAAAAAAGAAATGTTAAATTGCAATAGATGAAACGAACCTCCCCACAAATCATATGCAAATTTCTTCTTTCCAATCACTCCAGCCACTGCTGGTCCCGTGTGTATACCTACACGAATGTTGATTTGCCTGCTTTCAACACTAATCTCTTCTCCATTTTCATCGTACTTTTTGATATTCTTTTCATGCTCGTCTCTGATCATTTCTGCGTTGTAATGATGCAACACAGAGAACACGTCGATCGCGAATTTTAGAACTCTCTCAGGATGATCCTAAATGTAGGTGGTAGGTGAGACAAATTTCATGAATGAACACACTTACCTTTTGTGAATTATTATGTCTTGTACGATTGCATACTATGGTTCACATTCGACGATTACAACAATATATACTTACAATCCTTTTAGTTAAAATGAATACATGTTAATTTACCACTGTACCCAATATGAGTTCGTTTACTTACCTCCAACACAAAAATAAGCGTCTCCTCTGTTGGTAGTGTTGTTTGAATGGTAAGTGTGAGGACTTTCAACAACAACAACTTACATTGTCTTAATCTTCTCCAAGTTATATTTATCTGTCAATTCATCAAATCCATTCACAACAATGGAAAGCATTCGAATAATTTCAATGGCTTCCATTCTGCTAGACATTTTTGTAAAGCCAACCATATCTGAAAAGAAAGCGGTTGCATCATTGAACTTTTCGGCAATCAGGTTCTCACCTGTTTTTAAACGCATGGCAACCGCTTCAGGAAGAATGTTGAGTAGTAAGGATTCAGATTTCTTTTTTTCCTCAACAAGTAACATATTTTGTTTCTTCTCAGCAGTAATATCCTGTGGTAAGATCAAGTGGTGAATTTGAGTGTAAATTCATGTTGAGTGTTAAAGTTCTTCCAATCCAATTAAAATATTTCCTTACCTTTACAAAAAACATGACTACAGGTGTTCTACCAAATAGAGTACAAAAGAAGCTAATTCTTCCAGGAAATTTAGACTGATTCTTTCGGAAGCAGTCTACATCCATGGTCTCTCCTTGTAAGGGTTCCGCATTCTTATTGTTAATATTTTCAAGTAATGCATTGCTCATATTTTCCATTACTTGTTTGATCTTGCTGTTGGCTGTTGGCTCGAACAAGGTGAAAACGCTTAACCCCACAATTTCATGAGGTTTATGATAAAATATTTTCTGAGCAGCTGGATTAAATATTTCAATGTCACCCGCTTGATTACACAAGATGGCTCCATCAGGTTGTGAATGAAGCATACTTCTGACTCGATCCTCATCTCCTTTTTTCGACTTTTTTTTTGAAAACTTTTTTGCAGATAAGAATCTCGACCGTTTTGAGACACCGTTTTGCATATTGGCTGACAAATCATGATATAAAATAAAGTTCTTGAATTTGTCGTTGGAATCTAATATTTCCCATGGTACATAGTGCAGCATTAGTCGAATTTGATGAATGTTTCTCCAAGTGGATATAAAACTCTCGTAAAGCAAGTACGAAAAAACTAAACACTGAAGTACTCCTATCACTGAGAAAATTACTAACAATGTAACATTGGGTGTTGATGAAAGTGTTATAAACCGATTTTCTACTTCATCAATCTTACTAAATAGTGTGATGCTTCGAAAGAATACTGAAAGAAAACTATCAAATAGTGCTAAAGAGTTGTACTGATAGTTTTTAGATTGCAACTTTTCGCTCAATTCTTGTGCAGAAACAACAAAATCAGAAATAAGAGAGCTCAACCCCTGACATGTTGGTGATGCTGTTGAATTGTTGCAGGAAGTACTTTCACTAACCAACGCTAAAATCTCTGTATATGAATTAGCATTAATACCAAGCATGGCCAAGTTCCATTCATTCAATAGATCCTGTAAAGAGGTTTTAACATTAGTATACAGATTAGCAACAAAATTGTCATCCAAGATATCAGGATCATTCACAAAAGATGTTCCATTTGTTTTTCTGAAAATAAATAACTCTCCTATTGTGTACTTGGCTCTTTCTATTAAGGAATGAATATTGGTTACTCTTTGTAAATTCTCAATTGTCGAAACTGATAAATTATTGTTGGTAATGGCATACACAAATATTAAGGAAAGGCAAATGGATGTCATCACAAGAAACAATACTCCAATAATTAGAACAACTCTCTTTGGTTGGAAGAGAGAGCCAGAATTTTTCATGGAAATTTCTTCCTCGTTCTTTTTACATATTTGAGAATAAATTTTTGAAACTGTCTGGTCTGGAATGTCATGTTCCATCATGTTGAGCAATTTCTTTCCCTTTTGAAGCTCCAAAAACGTGTAAATAAAGAATGCTCCTCCAAGAGAAAAGTACAATGTCACTGACGAGATAAAGAGTCCTAAAAATCCATCAATGTAGCTTTTGGCATCTTGTATAGCTTTAACTGCAACCTGTTGACAAAAGTTTGAAAACATATCTTCTGCACTATCTCTATTCTTAAGCAAATACATAATACTAAAATTTTCAAGGGTTTTTTCTAAATCTGATTTCGAAAAGCTTGTTAATACTTGTTTGTTCTTGAGTAGTTGGTGAGTCAGGTCGAAAACAGAGCTAGTACGAGAAATTGTGTTGGTATATCTTGGCAGGGAGGACTTGACAGAAATGCCTTTGCTTTGGTTGAGAGAAGGAACATGCAACAAGTAATTAGAGTCTACATATGCATTTGAGGTTGCTTTGCTTTCACTGGAGTCCCGTAAACGTTCTAAATGCTCGAATCTTGAGTTAATACGTGTCTTGAATGATTGCAAATATGAATCTATGTTGAAAATTCCAACACTGGTTAACAATGGAGAAGAAACGTTCCCACCGGTTTGTCCAAAAAAATTCAAAAACACTTGAGCTGTTCGCACCTCACTAATAATGCTCGAAGTGGTTCCCTTTGGCTGACAACTATCTCGTACTGCAAAAATCTCACTGGATGGCAATACCGAAAGAACAGCGCTTACAACTATGAAAGACACTAGTAATAAGAAAGAATATACGACGAATGCAACCACACCAAATTTTTGTACCTTATGCTGTTCTTGGATGTTGATAGCAGACTTGAACAAGTTCTCTTTCTTTTGATCTGTATCCATTGTGTCTGTAGGTGTGTCTGATAAAGTGTCTCTCGCATGGTTCTCCTTTCCCAATTGAGTATACTCGATCGAATTAGTAGATAGAGAATGAGGCATTTTGTTCTTTTCTATTTTTCTTGTCCTTGATTCTTCTTCTTCTATCGTTGCAGCTTCCACGTACAGCTGCTGGGCGAGTTCAGAATCAAATTTAAAATTCTCTACAAAGCTGGCAAATTTTCTGAGAAGAGTCTTTTCATTACCATATGAAGACATCAAATTTTCAAACGTCCTATGACATTCAAAGGTAACAGAGGCAATCCTAGTAGATATCTGTTCTAATTTTTCAAGATCTACAATGTCAGCCATAAGTTCCTTCCAAAATCCTTTGTGATGACCCCATAGCTCACTTTGATACTTGTCCAACTTTAGCAAAATAGCCTTCAATTCAGAGATGTTCTTACGAAGACTATGAGAACTTTCACGTTCTGTAAACTCTTCAATTTGTTTGATACGTTCAAGAACACTCACTCTGTCTAGAAGAGAAAGATTTTGTTTCAGTGCACTTTTCAATATTCTCAAAGCTAATGTTGAACTATTTGCCTCTCTTTCCCAGCAATAAGCCACGATAATTGAAGAAACGATCAAAATTCTCGCACTTGAAAACGACTTGTTGTTAATGAGCGATTTGATGAACATTAAGGCAAAGTCAACATCTGACCAATGTTCTTCTCCTGCCTGCAAGAAGATACTAAACCTCAAAAACATTTCCAACTGTTTCAACTTTTTTGTATCTTCAAAGTATTGATACTGCATGAGAGCTTCTTTTTCTGCATCTTTCTGATCAGACAGATCCAATTCTGCAATAATTTCTTTGGTATTCTTGTAAACAATACGGGTATAAGCTTCCATGGCCATAAATCCCAAACAACCGAATACAATGGATATTCCAAATGTGAGACCCATCATACCCAATCCAACATCCCAATAATTTTGAACATTCACCAATGATGAAATAAGAGAGCCTACCGCCATTCCAAACTTGCCACACAAGAAGGCAAAGTAACAAGAGTTTTCCGCTCTCCTAAAGAAAGGAATACAAATAAAGAATATTGGTAAATGAATAAGAGCAATCACAAGATGTACAATGGCCCTTGCAAAGGGTACAGTCACAGGAATGATAAATATGGTCACCATTTCAAAGCTCACACTCAACCAAAAGTAAGAAGTGAAATATGAATTCTGTGCAATAAAGAACGTTCTCGATTTAGGATGATTATTAGGGAGCACAAGCTGTGAGAATAGCAGACAAATCCACAATGCCACAATCGCAATAAAGCACACCACAATGTAGGCAATATTTTCTCCAGAGAAACATGAAATATCACCAGGAAATCTCGTTAATGTTCCCTTATTATAATTGCAGTCAATGAAACTGGTCATGATAAATGTCATCACTGCACTCAATACAATCAACACTGCACTCAAGTAATGAACCATGCTCTTAATTTTCTGTAAATATCGAGTGGAGAGAACTATGGATCGATACGCTATCAACAACCCAGTCATATGGATCATGATGAAAGCAATACATGCGAAGGAAAGGCCTACCATGCCGTAATATGAAATTCTATCCAGTGAGAGAGTGATTGGAAAGGTTAATATATTGAACAGCCATGAGCCATAATATCCGTAGCCATAGTAAATCGGAAGAGAGCTGTTGCTGTATTGAAACGTTTGGATCAAGGAGATGGCATCACCCGAGGTTGCTTGTGTGGTGCTCGTCATAAGAACGCCATCCACGGTTCGGCTCAACGTGATGGTTGGAAGCATCCATCCACATATAAAGATATATATTTGAAGAAACACTAAGAGTACGACATTCTTCCATTCTCGAATCGGTTCCTTAAACTCCAAATGAATGACTCCATTCACCACTCGTTCCATAAGGTTCGTTAAGGCTTGATAGATCGGAGATGACTGAGCTCCATGATGATGCAACATAGAACGATCATTACCTAAGGATGATTGAGCTATACCTGCTGCACCAGCAGCCATTGGTCCTCCCACGACGCTGGTCATGTTCTTTTTCTCTACTTATCTCTTTGTGAGAATGATGATATCTGTTGTTCTTGTGTTTTTTCCAAATTAACCGCTTGAGGAAGAGAAAAAGGCCGATTAGCTGCCTTATTTCAAAAGAGAGTCTTCATCACAGTTTTGTTGTGAAAAAAAACCTTACACTTTAGACAGCCACCTCTGGTGGTTTTTCTTCCATTCCGACCAATACTTGCCATGAAGGAGGAGATTTCTCTTTCTGATTTTGCAATTCAATGGTTACAACAAGGCTTAATGATCTCGCCTCAACGACGGGCAGGTGAAGAAGAGGTATTTGTGCATCATCATCACCAACAACCTTCTCATCATCATCATGATGATGAAAATTTGTCTCATTCTCATTATTACTTGAGCATTTTAGAACAACTACCGCTACGGATCATTCTCAAATTTTGCAAATATTTATCGGCTTTTGAATTGGAGGAATTATTATCACGTAACAATACGCAGAGAGGGAGTTGCTCTTTCTTCACGGGAAAATCTCGCCAATTTGAAATAATTATTGATGAATGCTTTGAGAGGCTTTTCCGAAAAAGATTTGAAGAGGATGAACGCTCCACGATGGCTTTTAAATTACAAACAAAACAGGATCAGTTATTATTGGCTGCTTCCAATGCTGAAGACAAACCGCACCGGACGGAAACAATGAATTTCATTCAATTGTATTTTCAAAATTACTTACATCAATGTGTGAATAGTGTATTGGAAAAGAAGCAAATATATGAATTTGTGAGTTCGGACTCTCAAATTATGGATGAAACATTGGAACCCATTGAAAATAATGAGCGTCAGTGCGCTGAAGTCAAAGAATTTTTAACTAGCCACGAAAATTTTGAGCAACAAGATATTGCTTCCAAAGAAAAATCCTTCTTGTATTTGAAAATCCCAAACCAAGTCACAGAAGCGTTTTTCGAGCGAGTACATTGTTGCAAGAATGGCCATTCTTTGAAAGTTCAACCATCCAACAACTTGAATAGTTTATTCAGCCATTTGCATCGATACGGAAAATATGTGCGATCATTGTCAATATCAAAGAGCCTTTTGAAATATTTAAGAGAATATGAACAATTGCAACTATTTATGCAGTGCTTTGAGAGAATTGAAGAATTAACATTTCGTGACATGAGAGAAGAAGACGCTCAACCTATATGCTTAATTCTTCAAAGGTTTACTTCTCTTCAAGAGGTATCCTTTTATCATTCGTTCTTTTCTGAATATTCTTTGAACGCTATTCTGAATTTAATATTTTCAGAGCTTGAAAACAAAAGAATGGAACAGAAAGTATCAATTTCTCATTGCTTTAGTGACAGCATTGTTCAAAAATTCAATACTGATGCTCACGCACACAACAATTCTACAATCATGCAAGATTGTGAAGACGAATTAGACCTCTACGGCGATTTATTTGAACCAACATCGTTAGAGGAAAATTTCAAAAAGCGACCTCTTTCTTCAGTTATAATGGACGTAGAGCAAAGCAGTAGTACTGAAGAATCTTCAAACAAGAAAACCAAAACAGTGAGTAATTTACATATGAGACTCACACATATTACTTTCAGGAGCGTCTCCTTTTTTCAAAGCTCCTCAGAATTACTTGGACAATTGCTCTCCACTCACATCAACAGCTCGTTAGATTCACACTTGCAAGAAAATATGCTCACATTGAATTTTTCATTCAATGAGCTAAGCAGCCCTATGGCAAAATCTCTTCTCATTTCACAAAACTTCCACTTTGTGAACTTGACAACACTCATTCTTACTGAAAATAACGTGGATAATGATTTTGTAATTTACCTGTCTGAACAAAAACCATTACTTAAGACATTGAAAAAGTTAGATTTAAGCAACAATCATATTGTTGGGGTGAACGGGGTAAATGCCTTGTTCGAAGCATTGCAACAAGAACAATCATGTCTCGAATTTGTAAACTTGTCGCATAACAGACTAGGAGGTACAAGTCTGTTCAATGACGACTATCATGCCATTGGAAATTGTGAAATTGAATCGCTTAACGTATATATATCATCCTTTGTGGATGCTCGCCTGAAAACCCTACTTCTCAGCGATTGCGATTTGACACCATCCATGCTCCAATCCTTACTGCTTGCCATGACTCACAACAAGTCCATTACTACACTTGACATTTCGAACAATGCCATGAAAACCAATGCTCTAGCGATCATGCTATCTCATAACACGACTCTGAGAAACTTGTCTTTATCATGTTGTGCTTTGGAAGAAATTTCCGAGTCTCTTCTCAAGTCGTTACTTAATAACGAGTCATTGAACTATTTAGATCTGAGTGGAAATCGATTGAAAGAGGCTGGAGGATTATCACTTGTAACATACCTGAAACAAAAATTGGATCAATGCATTAGAGACAAGAAGATTCTTGAATGGAACACCCTTGATTTATCAACGAATCGATTTGGAGAACAATTTTGTCGGCATCTCACTGCAATCTTTCAGGTAAACCATTCTCAACAAGTGGACGCTTTGCATATTGACACGTTATTGTTAGAAAATAATTTCTTTTCACAAGAGGCAACCCAAAAGTTGAAAAAAGAGGCCCTGCAAAGCGGAATGGTAGCAAAAATCGCTCTTACCAATGAAGATGGAAAAGCACAAGTGTATGTTCAACCTTGTGACGGAACTACCTTGACATGAGTTTTTCTGGAAATTGGCAAACCAAATGAAAAACCTACAACACGCCAAAACAAATTACTCGAATGTTTGGAAGGACACAAATTATAGATGGAGAGAGAACACATTCTACTGTTGAACTTTGACAAGTGCACATACTAAAAATCATCATTCACAGTTGCATCCTTATACACTCGAAAGGAACTAAACTCTTCTGCTGAATTGCAACACAAGACGTCACAACACAAACCACAGTCGAAGGAAGGTAACCATCGATGTTTGTCGCAAATAAAATAGTATAACCACGATGGAAATCCTAACCACTGCATAAAATCTGGACAATCCGCTGGTCGATAACATCCACACCACCACGTTGTGCAACAACAACATGCAATCATGGAAGCATTGCAACAACACAACCACTGGACAGGGCAAATCTTCTCGAGTACAAATCGATCGGCTCGTCCTAGAACTGATGTCTCTTCAAAGAGTCGTAAATGAGCAGGACGGTGGTGTGTGAGATTTGCCAAACTCGTACTTGGAAACGTGGGGAATTTCACAATATTGTGTTTCATCTTGGTGATGGTTCGATCAAATTCAAGAGTTTCAAAAGTAAATGTTAAGGTCGTCAATGAGTGGATGGAATTCTCAGTGCTGCATGAAATACCGTTTCGAGATTTCATTCCAATTTGTTCTTCATAGTGTCTTCTCATGGAATCTGATATTTTCAATTCAGATGCAAATATGCATTTCAAATACATTTGTAAAAATGCAATTCTCATTCTGTCATTCATATTCTCCAATGACATGAATGTCAAATGTTCCTGTATGTAAAGAACTGGTAAATAACGTGAGGGATGTTTGGAACTTGGAACTATAGATAACATTTTTGAGAATGCATTTGTGTCATTGCTACTGGCAGAATCACACAACTTCAATACAGCATGCTGATAGGCCTTAATGACATTCTTTTCGAGTAGTAGAAAATTTCGAAGTGATTGACGAGTGACAGAAAGTTCAACTGTCTCTTCAGAACCAGCTTGTGAATTTGTGAGTTGACGATTTTCTTCCTCAAGGAGTGTTTTTAAATAGTTGATACTCTCTGCATCATAAACTTGTTTCAAATTCATGATACATTGTTTTTCTATCTTCTCAATAAGGAAATCTTTAAAAAGGTAATATAATAATATTTTGACAAATACGGAATACTTCAATTCAGCATGACTAGTTGGCCATTCATCAAATCGTAAAAAACAATACTTGTCGAAACCATTTCGATCATAAATCTTTCCATAGGGTTTGATGAAATTTTTCACTTTTTGAAATGTTTTCCTTTTTGGATGTGACATTGATGCAGAAATACTGTCTTCCAATTGTTGAGTCGAATATTGAATCGATCGATCACTCTCACATGGAACGAAATAAATATGAAGTATGAACTTGTCCAATAATCGACAAGCATTGAAATTCCACTTGGAATCGATGAGCTTTGAAAATTCTCCATTTTTGGAAAACTTTGTCTTCCATGAATAGAGTAATTCATGAATCGAAAGATAAGATTCTTGTTCCATCTTCTGTTGCGATTCGGATGTTTCTTTTTCATGATTAACATTTCTTAATTGAGTTTCTTCATGAAGTGAAAAATATTCTCGTGTGAATTTCTTCATCTTTCCATCTTTTATATTCTCATGATCAAGAGATTCTGTATTCTCATGGTCATCATCAAGAGATCTCAATAACTCTTCCTCCCGCCTCATGATTTCATCACGTGTTGTTGTTGTTGTTGTTGAAAAATGAGTGTGCAAAAACTCGGTCAGTATTTCTCGATTTCCATTTTTATCCGATTCCATGTGAGCACTATCTAAATATTTCCAAATTTTACACCATTCAGTATTTTCGTTGCATAGGATCCCGGGATTTGTTGGCCATTGAATTTCAATTTCAATTTCTTGTGAAGAAATTTTTCGACACTTGTTTTGAAATATTTTCTGAATTTCACAAATTAAAGGAGAATAGGGTTGTTCTTGTTCTTGTTCTGATGAAAAATTAACATTGACTCCAATTTGAATTACTACTCGAGGTAAATAGAGAGATTCCAATTGATTTCGTAATGAATCGGAAAGATGAATTTGTGGTTGCGATCGTGAGGCTGTGTTGTGAAACGTTTCTTGTGGTTGTTGTGAAATGAAGCCGCCGCCGCCTCCACTCAACAAGTGATAAAAACTTTTACATGTATACTTCAACGATTCAATATCGAGAGCCGACCATAATCCGAACGAGAACATGTTTGAAATGACATTTGAATCCAACTCTGCCAGTGACATTTTTTTTTCAAATAGTGTTGAGTTTTGTACAAATTTTTAATCGCGAACAACAAGAACTCTTTATTTCGAAAGGATTAGTCACATCTCGCTTGTTGTTCTCGCAAGAAAATGATTTTTCTCAACATTTACTTGTAGTTTCTACCACATTTTCCACAAGCAGCAGAGTTACCACTCTTAACAGGTGTGCCGTCGTCCCAATTTCGTTTGCATCCCTTGCACATTTTGGTTCCACATGATTTGCAGTTGATGGTATCTGAAGTACCGCATCCAGAGCTGTGTTTGCACATGATAAGGTTTTCTTTGTTTTTTGTTTGATTGTTTGTGAATAATATATTTCACATGTTGCAATTTAAAACATACTTTTGGAGGGCAAAAAAATGGAGAAGATTTGGGGCAGGGTCACTTACTAAAGATCAACGAATTTAAGGATGGTTTTTTCGATTGGATACTTCTTACGAGAGAAGAGGCAATAGTTCCAGTAGAGTTCATGTCGTACGAATGTATATCAATCCAGGAATAATGTTTACAATGTTGTCAAAAAACGGATGACAAAATATATTTACAAAGTCGTGCGTCTTGGTTAGCATTCAGATTCCTCATCTTGCCATGGTTCAGCACAGCGTGGTTGCGGTGGAAGTGATGGGAGTGATACCTTGGTAGTGCTCTCATAGCCACTGTGCTTTTCTGCAAGTCTTTTACAAACGACCAATAAATCATCCTTATCCAGTTCTGCAAATTCCTTGGTCATAAATAGTTCAGTATAGGAATCGACAATCCACTCCATTGCAATTTCATTCAATTTGTAAGAACGGAATTGTTTTGCAATTTGACTCAATTTAAAGACATTGTCGTCATTAATGAAAGTGGAAAACATTCGGCCACAATAAGTACATAATGAATGAATTAATAACTTGTCAGCCAAAACGTAGACATGGAAAATGTTGTCCATATTCACTTCTATGTGATTCGTGTAAACATATTCAATCACACTTTCAAAAATCTCGTAAGAAATGTCTTCGTCAAATTCAATCACTGAAGTTTTTGATTCAATCATGTCACACTCTACCATGGCTTTGAAAAATTCAGATCGTCTTGTCAAGATTGATTTGTGTGCTTTGATTTGTTTTCCTGATTTCGTGTGAATTAACAAAATGTCAGTAAATAGGGCATCTTTGAACATTTTCTTATAGACGGCACTGAGTGCTGTTAATTGAGATTCAAAATATTCAATTTTTGGTTTTCCAACAAGTTTGATCGCATCAATTTCACTCCAACCAGCGAGTACCATATCCACTCTAATTATTCGAGTTTTAATATTCTTAAACTTGAGAGGTGGACAAAAATCCTCAGCTTTTCCATTAGTATATGCTGGAGCAGATCGTTCAAAAACAGTGACCCAATCATCTGAATTATAATTCAAATGAGGAGCACTACTATTACCAGTAATAGCATTGGACACAGTAGTGACCAATTTTGATACTTTGGAAGGTTTAATACCCTCTTCTCCTTCCTTGTATTTTTTACAACGAATTCTAACCACGGATCCTGGATGTGAAGTTTCATAGATATGAATGGCTTTGGCAATCACTGGTTGTTCAAAAGCAACAGTAATGAACTGTTAAAATGTTGTTAAAAACGATGATTACAATTGGTCTTTATCTTCACCACCTCAACACAATATTGCACTTACTTGTGAGCCACTAGCTGTTTGAGGACACCAACAAGTTCCACTGGACTGTATTTCATGTATTTTCAAAAGAAAATCATAGTGTCATCAAGAATGATTCAATCCATGTACAACAAATACTCACTCGCAGCTGTGGAAAGACACTACAAGGACCCACGACATGAATAGGTCCATAAGAGCCTGTCAATGCTCCACTGTGGATGTTATTGACATTCATGAATATCATCACGACCATCATTGTTGACCATCATATCAACAAATTCAAGATCAAAATATAATGATACATTTCATGCGTTCGGAAATGTGTTTAACCAAATCAATATTGGATCAACTATTCCCGATCACGATTGAAAACACAAACCTGTAACTACTACTAAAATCAAGGACCTCACTCACCCATTGTTCTTCACCTTTTAATCCTTTTTGATAGTCTTCCGCAGCAGAAGTTGCTTCATCGAGTCGGACTGGAATAGGTTCATTGGATGAAGTGCTTGGTTGGAATAAATAAGCATCCAAGGGTGGCGTTGGTGGAATCATTTTTTTTTAAAGTTCGTCAGTATGGACAAGTTCATTCATGCGAATTTCTTTATCTAAGGACAGAAATTGATGTCATTAGAGAATACAATATGATGAACTTGCAGGGTTTATTCCTTGAGTAAGTGCATTTCGTACATGCTCTCTGGTTGTACCAGGTCAGGTGGTCGTACGTAAACAATATTATTTGATAAAATCATTCAATCCCTTAATGTCATCAGCAACAATGCTCACATTCACACTAGTAGAAGGATAGAACAAGAAGAATCGAGTGGTGACATGTTCTGCTTCTTTAACAACATAATAAGGAGATGCGACAGTTGGAACCTTTGGTAATTCAAAAGAAAATATTGTAGAATAAGAGAAAAACATGAATAGGTAAGAATACAAATATGATGATACTTAGTAAACAAATAAGGAGGCACTACTTACACCTGGTGCTTTGACAACTTCGCAAATCATGATACAACGTAAGGTATTGGAGTTGACGAATTGAGATTTGCTCCAAGATGAACCAACACGAGAATAACCAAAGCTTGTGCTTGATTCACGAGCCATATAAATTCCAGGTCCATACTTTTAGTAGTATAATGGTGAACCATGAAAACCATGATTATTTCAAATGGTCAATGATAATACTTACAGCCGCACCAGTAGTCATAAGTTTGGTGTTCGAAGCATTCACAAGTCCCTTTCTCAAGATACTGTGGAAGTTCTCGACAGCAGAGCCGTGAAAAGCCCAATCTATAAAAAAGTAATAAATCAAGCATTGTAATTACACAGCTGTTGGTTGAAAATAACACTTACATGAACCATACTTCTTTCTATTTTGTGCAAATGTAGCTGCCTTCTCTGGATTATCCATCATCATAATGTATTGATAATCGGTTTGCATTTCCTTAATTCTCTTCTTTTCTGGCATTTTAACAAGAGCACTGGTTGATGTCACAAAGAAAAATATCCATAATTAAATTGTTAGTTAAATAAATCAAACTGACACTTGTACATGCACAATAGAAACTTACCATCTGTTTGTACTCAACAACCACTTGAGTATTTGATATGCATTTGGATGCAAAAATTTCTTAATATCACTCTCTGTTTCACAATGTTCCTTCATTTGAGCAACAGAAGGGATTAGATCAAACGCCTTCACCACAGCATCATAGTTTTTAGTTGAAGATCCAGAAGTGTTAAACATTTCTGGGAATGGATCAAAAATAACATCTCTTCTGGAGCTTGTTGCTGCCGAGTATGACATGCTGATCATGATATCAACTACATCACCGTTCTCATTAATGTCAGTATGAATTGAGGACGGGCATATGGAGATGGGAATGGTATTGCAAACACCCAACTCGATATACTCGAATTGACATTTGAAACGAGTACAAATAATTGGTTTTTGATGTTCAGTAGACAACATGTCGTAACAATCAATATGATCGTCGCAATTGCAGCAGAATTTGTGACATGTAGGAATTCTCAAGAACATGTAGGTCAACATTTCCAAAATAAAATTAACCTTTGGTTCGTTGTCACTAACCAATGCCTTGTCATAACTATAATTGTTGTGTTGAACATGTCCACATTCTGTTAATAATTCATCAGCAGTTTCAGGTTTCATGTTGCTATAGTAGAGAGCAAGTGCTTTGGCAGTGTTAATTTTCTTTTCTTTCAAAAGTTGTTGAACTGCCTTCTTTCTATCACTTTTAGAAATGTTGGAATTGTAGGTTGCCAATTTCAAATCAGCAGCACCAAATTTGGTGTTTCTGTCTTGCTGAAGTTGTACCCAACGCATATCTACAAATTTTGACAAGATATGCTCCTATGGTGTTGTTGAATAAATACCAAAATTATACAAGTGACAATGAACAAATGAATCAATATATGGATGAAAAGAAACATACCATTTGTTCGGCAAATCCACTCTTTTCTGTGACAATTTCGGGTTTGTATTGCACTCGAGGTGGCACATTGTGAGAGAGATAGTCTGGAGCAAAACTCACGGACATGGTGTGCCACATGTCATCACTTTTGATTCTATACTCCTTTTTCATTTCTTTGGACAAGTCATCAGCAACAATTTGCAATCTCACGTTATAAATTTGACCAATGAGCGTCACAAACTTGGAGTCATAATATGCTTTTGCATCATTTACATGACATGAAAGAGCATCTTGAAGCTCACCATCATCGAATCCCACATCCATACCATCATCTTCCATATCATCAAAAACTTTTTGACTTCCTTTTGCAGTGGTAGGTGTTGGTGTTCCGACTTCATTCATCAAGAAATCTTCTCTTCCTTGAACAAGTGTCTCTATTACTTTTTCTAAAGAATATTCAAGAGCTGATTTTTCGGAGGATGATGATGCCGATAATATTTCAACATAGTCCTCTTTACCATCATTCGACACACACAACAAGTCTTCCGATACTCGAACAATTTTACAAACAAATTCTTTCAATCCGAAATAATCAACATGGAGATCAATTTCCATCTCATCACCAGTAAACGTGAGAATATTGTACGATCGAAGAATGGGATCTTCTCCCTTCTTGTACGAATCCAATAAATTTGCGATTGCCTCTTTGGTTGGATTTTTACTAGTAGAGCAGATCATTGGATGATAATTTCAGTACGAGTTTTCGGAACAATGCGAATGTCAAGCAAAAATTTTTTTTTGAAATTTGTTCGAGAACTCGATGACTAAGTTTAGCCTTTGTAAAGCTAAAAACTGTTGGGAAGAGCTGACACTGCTAAACGCACGAAAGGAAAAAGTAATATTGAGGGGTCATGGATTGAGGCAATACTGTTTAATGAGGTCAGAAAACAGGACAGTTAAAACAGTTAAATTTGTTGAGCAACTTGGCTATTAACTATTTGGAAAGTCTTTCGCACACTTGACCATACAAGAATTTTCCAGCTCGCTCGGATTCAGCAAAACGCTTCTTATTGCAACAACTGACATGTGAAAGAATGCCTCTATGGCAACAAAGCGCACAATCAACCTGTTTTGTGGATGCAAATTTCTCTCAAGCAAAACAAAACCGATAATAACTTTCGAATATTGTGTTTGTAGTTGGTTGGAGCCAGACGCCTGTTGTTGATGACTTGTTGTGTTTCCATCAACACCAATTAACAACAAACAAAACCACACATCAATCCACCAAGACATTTAATCTTGAGTCTGGTAGTGTCTTCTGAATCTCTCCCCGACCGAGGATTGTTGTAGTTCAATTATCTATTGATTGTAGAGCCCTCGGGTAATTTTCTCTCTCTGAAACATCATCATTGGGATAACATCAACCAAATAATTACTAATTGACAAGACCAAATTTAGGTTCATACTATCGTTCATCATCACAAAGAAAGGCGTTGAAAATCATAGTCGTTATTAATACTACTCCTTTGGACTCGTTTTCGCGTATTGACCTTCATCAAGTGTTTCCAAAATTGAAAATGTATCAACAACAACCACCCTTGACATTGCTGGAATCCTTTCTCCAACAACAACAAGCAAAAACTAGTAATTCCAATCTGACTGCAATGAACTACAACTCTTCTCAACAACACCATCCATTCGCGAGCAGTCATATTCCTCAGCCAACCTCTCAGAATCAATTCTCTTCAGTCCTCTCGACTCTGTTGCAAAACAATCGTATGGTTCAACAACGTTGTCCTCCTGCCATGTTGTCCCAACAACAACCGCCCTTGATGAACATGCCATCATCGACCATTGAAAATCATCATCATCATCAACAGATGATCATCCCTAACCATCAACTTTCTCTAATAACCGTGCTCAACAATTTGTGCCATGAAAAGTCTGCACAGCCAGCATCCTTCACGACTCCTCCTCCTCTTGATTCGAATTCAATGAGATTGTTTGAGAATAATCACCAACCAAGACAGTGGGAGGATCATCACGAAGCCTCGTCCATCACGATGACAGACTTTGGTTGTAGTCATCATAACCACCCCTCAGCAACCACCACGACGCCAAACTCTTCCATTATGAATCCTCCTCCTCCACAGAGCATGAATAACACAAGCTACAACCACTCTCTCAATCATACGTTATTCGCTGGTGAGGATCCATCGACATCGTTATTGAAATTGTTAGACTCTCTTTTAAAGCAGCAACAAACTCAACCCACTACCACTCTCTCAAGTCTCCTAAACAATGCCTTTATGAATCCATCTCCTCACCAACCACCATCAATGGACCTGTTCTCGCAAGCTTCTGTTTCTTCGTTGTACCAACAACCGCTTGGTGAAAACAATCATTCCAATTTGGACCTCTCTTTCAATAACTTTCACAACAACAGCAATTCCTATTGCCATTCACAGCCCGTACTGAGTGGTTTCAGTAGAGAGAGCTCACGTTCTTCTCCACCCACAATTTTCCAAGAGGATCATCTTGATGATATCATTGGTTATATGGATCCCAATGTGGACGTTCATGAAAAGTTTTCGTTTGTTGTGGTGGAACCAGAGACCAAGACAATGCCGCCCTCCTCCTCCTCGAACACTCTCAACACTATCAATTCAGTGGTATCATTAACAGCCAGTAGTGGTGTCAAGTCTCAACTACAAACAACTACAGACAGCAGCATCCTTAACAACCTTAAAACTACAAGTGGTGTAAATTCTGCATATCATACATACACAGCTGCATGGCCAACTCGAGACTCTTCCAAAGAAACAACAACAACAATGGAAAGTGGCCAAAATCATCCTGTGGATACTGAACCTGCAACCAAAACGAAAAGGGCATCCTCCTCACGAAAGAAAAAATCCACAGGTACAGGTGGTGGAAGAAATGGAGACACGAGTGGACGCTATTTGGCAGAAAGTGCATCGAAAGAGGTCTCTCCAACTTTTGAGTACTTTATTCACACTAACCATGATAATGATGACAACAATGCAACAATTTTGAAAGCCTCATCCATGGATGACGAGAATGGTTGTGAAATTTTCTTAACACCTCAAGAACGTTGTTTATGTTCGTTACTTTCAAAATCAGTCTTGCCTAGAGAAGAGTTGTCCAATATTTTCAAAGGCCCAAACTCAACCACAGTTCGATCCATCATTTCGAAATGGCTCTTCACAAAATTCGATGCCAAACTTCCAAACCATATGCCGGCATCTGTCGATAGTTCTGAGTTTTCCATGCACGATATGACATCATCATCGTGCATTGAGGTAGAATGTGTTCCAATGGGATTCACCATTAATAAGGGATCAAAACCAACACGATTGTCTGTTTTCGTCAATGACACGATCAAGTTCAAAATTCAAACATTTGACATTGAAAATGCGAAAATTTTCGAAGGAGACAACATCATTTCAGACAGTAGCATTTTCAACACAAACATCATGTACTTGTTTATTGACAATTATACGGCAGAGATGAGAAGTGCTCACTACCTAACAGGCCTTACTCCACCCAAGAATGGAGGTGTTCTTGACACATCTGAGAGCGCTGCTCCTCCAGACATCTGTATGGATCTTCTCTCCAAACATTCCATTGTTCAATACTCGGAGCGTTTGTCCATGAGAGAAGAACAACAACAAACCAAATCTTCTTCTGCTCATAGAGGCTCAACATTTGAGATTGGAATTTCAATTCGTCGTGACCACCACTACAAAGTCAAATTACCTCCCATTAAGGAGATTAGTTCAAGTTTTGGTTTTGGTAATACTTCACCAAACTCGGCCCTCAACAAAAAAATCAGCTTTGTGCAAATTATTGAAACCGATACACAACGCCCAGTAATTCGATCTGAACCATTCTGGTGTCGAAGTAAGAGCCGTGCCGAGATGGAGAAGAAACAAAATCGTGAGGCTCTTCAACGTAAATCTGGAAAAAGTAGCATTTTGTTGTCTCAACAAAACGAAGAGGATGAATCTGAGCTACCATGTGACAAAGAACATCATCAAGAAAAAAAGAGGAGACAAAAATCATCGAACACTCACAAGAAGAAGAAAAAGGTAAAGATTGAATTCATCAATGATGATGATGACGAAGAGCAAGAGTAAATGACCACTCTCTCATCACACTCATGTTAGTATGTATAAAGAGAATGAATTTCATATCAACGCTCACCTCAAGTTTTTTACAACACTGAATTCAATAAGGATTCACTCAGATTTGTCTGACGATCTTGTGTGGCATGATGAACCTTAGCAAGGCTATCTTAACCCTGGATCATAATTATTTTCGAAGGCCGTCGTAAACTAGATACATTTTAGGAGGTCGTTATTGCTCAGTATTGCGTAATTGAACTTTTCCGACGTTGGTTGTCCACTACGATTCCTGAACGAAAACCATAAAAAAAATGATGAACGTGGAGCCTTACAACAACATCATTCAGGGCAAACGCAGAGGAAGCAATGTTGGAATACCATCCAACAACTTGGGGTTGAATGGAGGACAGCAATTTTCGGACGCTGAGAGTGTGATTGATGCAGGCTTTTCATTCCCAATTCCAGAGTCGGTGGTTGGAGGAGGAAAAGCCACTCGCTCTGCAAGTATTGCCGATACAGCCAATACTGGGAGTACGTTGCTTGAGTATTACAAACTATCAACGCTAGCTAAATTGGAGGAACGATTATTCATGTTCCTTCTCAATTTACAAATTAAGGACGAACTCACCTCTCGAAAAGACTTTATATTGGCACTTGTAACCAATTTCTATATCATGTGGGTAGCATTATTTGTCGGGGTTTTCCCCGACTATAAGTATGGAGAGTATGGTGTTTGGATTGCCCAAGCTCTCAATTATCCGATTACATTCGGGTTTCATCATTTGCCCTATACGGCAGCCTTGATTATTGCGTGCATTGTCTTCTCCGTGCTCATGCTTGGAGTATTGAATTTACTGTTGGCCTATCGATCGGTCTATACGATGAGCAAGCACTGGCCAAAGATTAAGATGATTACACGAATGTAAGTTGATTTGTTGTTATGCCTTGAATTGCTCAAGATATTCCTCATCAATTCTCGTTTTATATGATAACTGCTGTACCCTCAACTTTGCTTTTACTTTCTTTCACACCTCTCAGATTGTTAGGATTTTTTTGCTACTTGTCCATGCCTTTGCTATGGTTGTTTCTAGGGTTTCTGGATTGCTCATACCAATCTAAGGTTGTACTGTCCTCTCAAGCTTCAGAGGTTCAAGTACTCTATCGATTCCGTGATGTTGCATGTTACAGTACAACAAATATTGCCATGATGGTCATTTCCATCATTTCCATCGTTACTATTTTTTGTATGGTTTTTCTGGGCATGTACACCCTTAACAATTCTAATCCCAGGAGCTCACTTCCCTTCTTGTCCTTCTACCAACATGGGCATTATGTTAATTTACTATCTCTCAACATTTTATTTGTAGTCATGTGCGTAGTTTCGCGTGATTACATGATTGCTCCTGCTCTTGTGTACTTGTTAAGCAGAGCTGGTTTGTCCGCCTTGTTTTGGTATCAATTACCATTCTACAGAAGGTGGGAAAATGCATTTTATTTTGGACACATGCTATCTACGGTCGGAACAGGAGTGTGTGGAATCATTTCTCTGTATGTCAACTCTTTGAACGAATGGGGATTCGGGCTAGGTCTGATTGGAATGACATTCGGAGTTTCATTTTGCTGTTTTGTTATTGGATGGGCGGCTCTCGAGGTTTATTCCAGATACATTATGAGAGACATTAGAGTTGTATTTTATGACCAGTTGGAGAGCGGTCTTAGCCAAATGAATAATGATGGTGAGGTCGTTAACACAAAAGCCGTTCTAGAAAAAGAGTCGATCAAAATTTTACAAATTATAGACGAAACGAACCGAAATAAGAGGTTGCATCATTTTTTGAAATTTTCTCTCAAACAAAAAATACAAGAAAATGTAGTGATTGGGTCCATAAAGGACTTGGAGATGGTGACTTGTTTTTTAAAAGGAGTTTCAACTCAAAAATCTTACCAGAACGTTGATTTATTAATTATGGCTGCTGTGGTTACTGGATCATTTCTCGACATGGATCAAGGCAACACCAAATCATTGGCACTATTAAGGAAGGCCAAAAAAGGCCATCCCTCACTTCTTCAAAGATTCGAAATTGCTGAAAGAACCAAGGAAGTAGAGGCTAACTCAGATAGTGAGAGAGGACTTTTAGAAATTAAGCACATTTTGCACACTCTTGAGAAGAAGGAGTTCACACTTCAAACTTTACACAAAGTATTCTGGAAAAACCTGATCAATGAATCGGTATCAATTGGAAAAGTGCTCTCTATCAATAAGCAAATCACGTCGCTTACAGAAGAGTGTCAGGTCACACTTAACGGATTAATGGCGAACTATGGCAACAATAAGACCGTTCTGAGGAGAAATGCAAAGTTTTTGCAACGATTCTTATTTGAGAAGGAGCGAGCAGATGAGTTATATGAAGAGGTATGTTGTTGGGTAGTACAATGATTTTACCAAGTTATTTAAATGTCCCATTAGGCCACTGCCATTGAGGAAGAGGAGAGTAAGAAATATTCGACATCTAGAAGAAAATCAAGAGCCGCCAAAAACCAAAATAGAATAATGCCAAACATCGATAGCATAAATGCTGCTGCGAAGAACAATAATTTCGAAGAAATGAGCTACATTGGAGACTTGGCAAGCAATTATGGCCGCCCATACCATAGTAGAGCATATGATGAAGAAAGTTTTGATGGAATTGAAAATATTAACGATGGACAAAAGAAGGAGTTTCAATTTAGAAATGCTCTTAACAGACAAACATCCCATTCCGGTCTGCTTGCATTTTTTATTGCGCTCTCACTGCTTTCAATAATTGTGATATCAATTGGATTTGGGTTAAGTATATCCTTTGCCCAAAGCATGACTTCTTCCATTGATTTCAGGTTTGTTTCTTGCTTTAATCATGGTATTGCTAACCCTAGTCTTATGAAGTTATGAGATTTGCATTCCAACTGCTCTACCCAGATTCTTTCTCAGAGAAATTCGAACACAACAAAATTTCATGCATCTCTTTCCACAATATTCACATGAAATAAGAGCAACAGGTTTACCGAACGTCAACAACACGGAACAGTTTCATCAATCACATATTTCCAGAATGAATACATATAATTCTGTACTAGCAAATTTGAAATTGATTGCAGAAACCAAGTTTACTGAAACCATGATTGAGGATTTCACTAACACCAATTATTACTTAGTCACACCGGTAATTTATAATGACAACAATTCAACAGCTCCCCAAGGATATTTACAATACAGAAAATCATCGATATCTGAAATTACCGATCAGTTAATGCATCACACTCAAAGGTTCTTGTTGTACACACCTAACAGTTACAATAGAACCACTGATTCTGCTGATTTTCTTTTCTATTGGGCTAATAGAATTAATCAAAGCGCAGCATACGACGCCTACTGTTCACAATTCAGCAACAGAAATCAAAATATTGTAAACACAAGTAGTAGCCAATTTTTAGCATTTTATGCCACTGGTAAGTTCCAACATTTGAATGTGAAATAATACTAACATTTCATAACAGCTATATCCATATACGTCGTTTGTTCAGTAATAGTGGTCATCATTTCTCTGGTTCATTTAAAAAGCCTCAGATCTACAATTAAGTTTGTGACCAAGAGTTTAACGCATGACGTGGTAGGAAAGATATTCTCGCAACTAGAAAAAAGAATGACGAGGAAGTTGATGTGAAAGAATTATCTTTTATTTCAAAACCTGAAACATCCATAGTCATTGTTGTTTTGCTTACTATTGCTATCACTGTGTTATGTATTACTTTGATGTTTGTTGAAATGAACTTAAATTCATCTCAACAGAATGTTGCAATTAATCACATAACGAATGGAGTGCATATTTTGAGAACTGCCAACAATATTGCTTTCAGACTGTCAGAATTGTTTTCCTTTTTACGGTATCCATATAAATTTTGTGTAAATGATGATCGATTGATGACACGAAAGGAGCTTGATGATTTTCATACACAACACAAAGAATTATCGGGTATTGTTGCAAATGCATGGAATTCATTGAAATATGGCCATGCATTCCGCACGTATGACGAGCTTAATGCAATTTTAACACCATCCAATTGTAGCTATCAGAATGGAACCACTCAATATTCTTGCTTGCCGATGGACGAGCTTATCGTGCAATTAATAAGCTCATCCAATCGATTTGGAGAGGATCTTTATTATAGCAACTATCCATTAATTGAGTTATTTACAGGACTTTTGGGTCATTATGAAATGACAACAGTGCTCATGGATCGTATGGTAAATTTGTTTAAAATATACACTAGACTCTCGTCACAACCTAGCTTTGCTATTACCATTACTTTCTCACTCGTTGGATATTTATCAATACTTGTCATGACCTATTTCGCTTACGCATTACTTACAGATTTTTGGAAGCAGAAGCAGCAAATTAGAATAATGCTCAACTATGTACCAATTGATGATTTAGAAGAAAACGAAGACCTTAAAAACTTTGCCCTTTTCGATGAGTTACCGAATCAGCTCAAACTTTCGCGAGCAAAAACAGACGACAAAGGTGATGGTAAAGTTAGATCTATTCTTAACTCTGCTGTTGACGGTGCCATTCTTTGTAACCACAAAGGAGACATGGAATTATTCAATCCAACAGCCCAGAATATGTTTGGAATGAACAACAGTGATGTGTTGGGACAACCGTTGTTAAAATTATTTGACCCTTCCGATGCTGAAAATTATCAAAAGCTTGGACAAATTATTCAGAAAATGATTACAAGCACTCAGCCATTTGGAGAGAATGTGGAAGTTGGATGTTTGAGAAAGAATCAAACCAAATTTCCTGCCAAAGTTAATATTGTGGTGAGCATTTACAACAAGAAACCACTTATTAGTTGTTTTATTAGGGTATGTTGCACGTGTTGGCATGTTCATCATCAATTTTGCGCATTATCGTATTGATTATGATTTTTCTTAATGGAATGGACGTATTATTTTGATAACTCTTCCTCTGAACAGGATTTCACACCTGAAAAGAAACAAAATTTACTTTTGGCAGAGGAAAAGAAAAAATCTGAAACACTACTTCTTAACATTATGCCAGAAGCGGTGGCTTCGAGATTGAAAAGTGGTGAAACCTTTATTGCTGAAAAATTTAATGATGTGACCGTCTTCTTTTCAGGTAAGATAGGCCAGCATTTAGCATGTATTTATCTTATTTTTTTTGTATAATCTAGATATGGTTGGATTTACTCGAATCAGTTCTGGAATGAATCCTTCTGAATTGGTATCCATGCTAAACACCATTGTGAATGGGGTATGTTTTCTTGATTTGCATGACGATGAAATTTCTGAAAAATTATTTAAACGTAAAGTTTGATTTGTTGACAGAAAAATTTACGCTGGAGAAGATTAAAACCATTGGAGACGCCTATTTTTGTGTGGGAGGAATTAATGGAAACACTCAAAGTGATCATCCTGATCGAACTTTGAAGTTTGCGATAGAGACCATGTCTGTCATTCGAGAATATAATTTAAATGGGAAAACGAATGTCAATATTCGTGTTGGAATTCACACAGGACCGGTTATAGCTGGTAAGTGTAAATAATATATTTATGTGAAAGAAAGAAGCTCTAACATACTCATACCTGATAACATTTTGACAGGTGTTATTGGAAGTAAAAAAGTAAGTAGAAAATCCAACAACATGTTTCCCAGTTATTCACTCTTCAACTTACTATTTTAGTTTGCATATGATTTGTGGGGCGTAGGTTTTGCATTTCAAATTTCATATTGTACATTTAACAATTTGCTCAATTATTGAATACAACTCCTTTAGGACACAATTAATACTGCTAGTAGAATGGAAAGTACAGGTATGTTGGGTTATAGATTCCTAATTAAATTTAATTAATACTACCTCAAAAGGCGTTCCAGGAAGGATTCAACTCTCTCGTCAGACCTATGAGAGAGTGCATGATTTAGGATTTCAATTCGATGAGCGAAAGATTGATGTGAAAGGAAAAGGGGTGTTAATGACCTATCTTCTCAAACCAAAACATCATGCTAATCCTCTCGATTCTCCGTATGATGATGCTACACCATCTCTTATTTCAAGCTTTAGCTTCAGTGAAGTGCAGCCTTCTTCGTCTCCAACAAATGCTGCTGCAACTAATCCAGCTCAGCCACAAACGGCTTCTGCTTTTTCTGACTCAACAAACAACAGTGGTACAGATTTGACATCAAATAACCAGCGTACGATGACATCATCATCATCTTTGGAGCAACGAACTTTGAGGCCATTAAAGCCACTCCTTAAGCACGACTCTAAGACCGTGCTTGGATTCCTGAGTGTGAACAAGTCACTGGAGGAGAGCCAACCAATCTTTGAACCTACCTCATCCGACAATACCGATCAGAAAAATTAGATACGAAAAGATGTATGCATGAATGTTGTGTCCTGATATCAAGTCCTTGTTAACTTGAACAAACGTATCAACTGTTGGTTGATCATTAAGATCTTATTTTTCATGAAAAGGATTTCATATTGGCATTCATCATTACTCGCCTGTGTATTAAGGCTCACCACCATCTACCTCCACTCAATCCGAGTACGTTCTTATCGATATTGTTCATGGTTTATTATTCACTTATTTAAACTACCCCAAGACTTGCCAAAACCATTTGCTCATTTGTTGTGGTTAGTTAATTTACTTAAATAAGTGTCAATAACCCACAACGCTTCGATTAGGTTGCCAAATTATTATTTGGTCGATAAGGTTCAACATTATATCAAGGAAATTTTCAAATTTTATTACTTGTTGGTCTACTGATTTTTATTGGACAGGAACTTCATTTGCTGATATTCAGACCTTTTCACCTTCACTTTTGCACCAGGGTGTGACAATGTGGCCAATTTAATATTCAACACAATGAACAACACCAGACCACATAGTGAGACCCAATTCAAATTCATCGTCTCTCCCTGATGTCTAAAATTCTCAGCCACATAATGTGTCGCAACCACCACATTCAACACTGCAATTAAGAACGGGAAATATTCTGCAGCATTCCTCAAAGAGAAACCATCTTCGCCTCCAAATAAATTTGGAGCCAAATTAATGACGCCCATCACAAAAAACAAAATGGCCACCGTTCTCTGCAAGTGAGGACTGTCATTGTTGAAGCCATACAATTCGCCAACTTGAATCTTGCCTTGCCCTCCAAAATACAGCATGAAACTATTAATCATGAAGACCATTCCAGTGGACATGGTTGCTAGACGATAGTAATGTTTTGGCTCCGTGTCCTCTTTGGTTACGAAATGACTTTTGGTGTGATGGCTGAGGGTTGATTTTGGACTCTGGTTTGTAGATTCCTGATCTTCTTCCTCTTCCTCCTCTAAATCCATTTGATCCCGAGAAGGAGGGGTTGATCGTATCATGGACGTTGAATTTCTAAGAAACGAAGAGGGTTGAGTGGAGGAAGAACGAAATTCATCATGACCTGAATCCAAATAATGATGGGATTTTCGTTGAAAGGAGGAAGAGATTCTGGGTTTATCCAAGTGATGATTGGAATTCCTTCTCTGGTTTTCATCAAATTCGCCTTTCGTTTCTCCATTCATGGATGAATTGTCTTCGTCGTACATGGGATTCATTATTGCCTTAGTTCGTTTCTTCTTTGATGATTCATCAAGTTCTGTTTCTTCTTCAATATCACCATCCGAATGATATTCTTCAACTTGTTCATCTTCCTCATCGTCAAGATCATCTTCTTCACCTCCGAGTTGTTTAAGGAATTCATTTTCCTTCTCCAATAATGGATCTCCTAACATGGATCTCTGTAGTACTTTGGAAGACATGTTCATAACTTGATGTAAACGATCTTTAATTTGCTGTAACTCGAATTCGGAGGTTGCTTCTTCTTGCTGATGGAGAGTTTTGTTAAATAAGAAGGGTTCGACAGGTTCCGCTGTTGTTTGTGTGGTGGATTCTTCCAACGAATTGAACGGTTGAGACTGATTGTTGTTCTGATGTTGAGAAACAAGATCTTGAACAGTGGTTAGAGTTGATTTTCCTAAAGACGGTTCTTCTAATTGCTGTTGTGAATGAAAATTCTTAGATGAAGAATTTCTGTCTTTTTGTTTTGAGACAAATGATTGATGTTGTCGTTGATTTAACAACGAATCTTGCTCTGTGTTGGGATCCGAATTGTTATTCATTGTTGTGGTCTTCCTGTCCTGTGTGTCGAGTTGAGATGCTAAATGGGGAGAATAGGATTGAACGGATGTGAGCATTTTGTTAAAATGGTTCAAAGACAGCATGTTGGAGTTTGTATTAAAATATGTGTTGTTACAAATATAAAATATTACCTTAAATGAATTTATTGAGCTGATTAGACTCACTGTTTTTTCCACACTTGAACCAAGTTGAGCTCATGTTCACAATGATGTGAGTTGCTAGAGAATATAAAAATATAAATGTAATGATTGTCGAATGAACGCGACAATGAACAATTCAACTGAAATTTAGTCACAGCACGTAATGCATGACCAACCTTATTCATTTGCTTGCTGTCTCTGATCACCAGTGGCTTGCCAATGCGTTTGCACATTATTCGCACAGTTACAATCATTGGTCACCTCAACTGCACCAATAAATATTGGTGCAAATTGCACCGTTTGAATAGCCACAGCATTTCGATTCTCTCCAATATTCGAAGCTTCTTGTTTTTGAGCAGGAATCATCACCACTCGAGTCACTTCCGAACTCAAACTTCCAGAATTTTTCATGGCATCCGTTTGAGGAGAGCTCGAGAATGAACTTGCTTGTTGCACTCGATTCACCAAATCCACCAATTGAATTCGACTCTTTTCATTGCCATACGCAAATCGAGGAAGTGTGAAATATCCTAATGGAGATTGAGGAGCACCAGTTTCAGCCGAACCCAATGTAAACTTTCCATTCGAAGAGACATTATACAAGTAATAATCAGGAAGCACATCATAGGGTAATGGATACGAATGTCCTCCTGTGGTGGTCCATGGAGCGGTTGCTCTCTTTTGAGGTTTTGTATTCAATACATAACCATTGCCAACAAAGACACTTGCAAAGACTGCCCATGTCGATTCCGTCTCTGCAATTTCACTCTCTCCGATATTTCCAGTACCTTGAATGGCTCCACTTCTCAATCCATGAGCAGTTACTTGTAAGGTAATACTTGTCGGAGTCGTTCGGAATGCAAAAGCATCTCGACCTCCCTGAGCCCCGCCTCCGCTCAACAAGTCCGTTCTGGCGCGAGTTTCACTTTCCGACAAGATGGCTCTCACGTGAAGTTTTTGAAGATAGGGAGCTCGAGTCGAGTTGCCCAAATTTTGAGCATTAAGGGGAATTTCCAAATCGGCGAGAATGGACTTGTAACGTCGACCTTGACCTCCGTATTGTTGTTTTTGAATGGTGAAGGGAATGTTTTGAGAATTGATGGGGAAATCTTGTAAAATGTGGAGAGAGGAGGATTCTGAATTGAGATCGGTTCCACCTTGCAGATTGAGTGAGAATTCTACAATACGATCTAAGGAAATCCACATTTGGAAATTTGGAGAGGGAAGTTGTGTGGAAATACTGTTGGGAAGAGATTGTTGACCAGAGGGAGTTGGAGAACCGAGGAGGGAATAGCCCATCATACCGTAGGTTGGTTTTGGCTGTTATGTAGAGTTGGTTCATGTTTTCGCACACAAGGTCGTTCAAGGTATGATGAATTTTACAAAACAAGGTTATTTCCATATTTGGTGGTAAACAATTCAACAAGTTCAAAAAGCAATACTTACATTACTTGAAAAATGATAGAGCAACAAATCCATTCGATCTGGATTTCTCTGAAGAATCTGATTCAAATCTGCACCTTGACCTGATTTTCCACAGTCATAATAACTCTCAAAGGTCACTCCTTGTTGAGTATCATTTTGAGTTTGATTCAAATATCTGACACAATACTTGGCCTCAGGAACATTGGTAAAAGAGGTAGGAGCTACCTGAGTCTGTAATTGCACGCTTCCTTGCTGTGGTTGTTGTTGGAGTGGGAATGGATGAACTCCACTCATCATTGCAACCAACACGAGCATGGACATAGCCAAGAAAAGGTTTTGAGTTGCATGCATGTTGGAATTCAATTTCAAGAGATTACTTTGTTTTTTTGTTATGTTTGACTAGTATGTGAAGCATGAGTCAAAACTTTTAAGAGTTGCAGAGATGAAGTTATCCTCTCGCTGTTGTATGATTGTGAGCATCTGAATTTGGTGTTTTTCTTATATGGGAATAAATTGGAAAATGTAAGGAACAAGATTTTTGAAAAAGAATAATTTCCTTTCGTCAATGAGTTGCATGAAGTGTATAAATTAATGGAATTTACAATTGTGTGTTTCAATACCATGTCATTCAACAACACAAGGAATGTATATTTTCAACAATAAGTTGAGAGGAATGCCTTGTGATATCATCTCCTCGAAAAGGTAAAATCAATTCATCTTTTTCCTTAAACCATTCTTGCAGATGCATAATTCTTTCTCTGTCGATACCACACAATTCCTCCAGCAATTATTGCAATCACAGCCAATGCCAATAATATCAATGAAATAATCAATCCAGCTATCAATCCAGATACTTCTCCACTGTTTACAGGACTATCCACAATTTTGACAATGAATGTATATTCAGCATCTCCCAAAAATCCAATATAATATTCCTGAGTCTCATCCTTTCCATTTCTATAATATTCATGTTTCATCTCCTTCTGTAAATTACTCATTGCTAGTTTATAATCAAAATCAGAAGAAGTTGGTCCATCATCTATTTTAATGTACATGGTTGCAGGTCCATATCGGACGGTGGCAGCAACATCCAAATACTTATTTACAGGTAACTGTACTCGATAATACACGTGTGGTGGTGTGTCTGGAGGTTGTGGAGATACATTGCCAACTACTTTTTCTCCCAATCGTAATGATACAATAATGGATTCGTTCGAGGCTTGTCGTGGCGTTGGTACTAATGAGCGAACGAGTTCAATTGAACTACTACTTGTACTACTGCACATGATCATGTTCAATCCGAACACGAATAATACAATTACGAGAAGGGTTCTTACAATTCGAGGAAGACGATTGATTGAGCGGTTTTGAAACATTTTTTTTTGAGATTAATCGTTCAAAAGAAGGGATGGTTTTTATTGGGAATGAAACGAGAAGAGTAGAAAGTAATTGGATGATGGTAAATATTAGTGTTTGATGAGAAATTGGAAGAAGAAGGAATTCAGGCATGCATGTCGTGTGAACATGAATGAATTTCATGAACATGAAATTTATCCGAGTTCATAAAAATTACTGATAGAGGACGAATGACAGTTTGTTTTGAGTGGATGACTTGCTGCCTTACTACAACTAAGAATATGAGTGATTGATACATCCAAATTCATTCAAAATATTCCACCCAATAAATCCATATAAATCAATTTCATGCACATTCCCTCACTCAAATTATACATTACTTCTTATTTCCGAGAACTTTTGCTCTCATACAACGTAACAACTTGTCATGTTCAAAAGAGCATCCACTTCTCTCAGCCCTAGTACTACGTAAGCAAATGAAAAAGTTTGTTTGTAAAAATTCGCAGTCATGAATTGGTTCTGTTTGGTCTCTAGCAACCTTTCCTTCTCGAATCAATTTGTCCAACATGGAAGGTCTATCCCATTGTACTTTTCCTGACGTTCTTTCAAAATAATAAATATCACCAACATTGCCTCCGACAATTGGAGGTGGACCCATTGGAGTTGGTGTTGTTGCTTCGTCCTGTATTGGTTGTTGTGTTGGAGTAACAATCATGGCACTTCCCCAAACACCTTCATTCTCTGCAAAGTGTTGAGCAAAATTTTCAACACATTTCCACAATTGTTGTTCGGTAGCTTCCATTTGAACCGTGCTCACGGTCTGAACCGTTCTCAATCTCAATAATTCACGATTAATTGCTTTGCACGGTCCTAATAAAGCAGCAGCAATCATATCTCTACGAATTTGATCGTGTTCTATCGAAACTCGTGTTTCTTTCGACTCTTCATTGTTTCCCGATGATGATGCCGATGAGGCTTGTTGACTCATTTTTCAATGTTGAATTAACCTTCAAAAAACTTGGCTAATAAATCCAATCAAAATAATTCCATCAAAATCAACAGTGGCATCTTCCGACGAGATGAGAGAGGGCAAGACTAAGAAATATTGAAATATTATAATTTACAACATGTTTTTAATTTCATTTAATTTTTATAATATTTAAACAAGCCTATTGAAATTCATTTCACTTCCGGCTTATTCATTCTTCTCCATTCTTGCATTCCTCCTTTCAATTGAAACGCATTATATCCATTCCGTGAAAGCCATTTCACTGCAGCAATGCTCCGATGAGCACTCAAACATATAGCATAAACAGGGCGTGAAGGATCTAATTTCATCTGTTCCATTCTCGATGAAAAACTAAAAACATTTGGAAGGAAGGAACAATTCAGAGAGCCTTCAATATGACCTTCTTGATATTCCGTTTCTGTCCTTACATCTATAATTTGAGGAGGAGGCTCGGGTTTGGATTGTACCAACTGATGCAATGTATCGGAATCAATTTCTGGTACCGAACCAAACGTCCACCACCAAGGAGAGGAGAACCATGATGGTTCCTCGGAAGAAGATGGAGCAGTACTTGTGTTGGTTGAGTTGGTAGTATTTGTGGTCATCAAGTTGTGGTTTTTCTTGTGAAGGGAATGTTGGAGAGCCAGATGATGTACCTACATTTTCTTGAATTGGAATTTTAACAAAAGATTGAACAAAGGTTTCGGCGATTCTTTGAGGCCTCACTTTCAAACTCACTGAGAACAAGATACATTTTGACAAGTGTCATTTCACAACCCTTAGCAAGTGTTATTCCTCAATATGAAGAAAAAACCTGTCAAGTCATGCGTGCGTATTTTCTTTTCGGAAGCGACATTTCAGTTCGTGTCCATTGAAGACATTCTCTCCTTTCTTCATGATGCTCAATGATCATCCGAGTGTTGTTGGTGTTCCATTCATCGCGACCACAAGATCCTACGCGCTTGCGCACTTTTAACATTGAGACAAGAATTTAAAAGTGCGACACCCAACACCAAACAATCAACAAAAAAAAATATTCCATTTACAATTTCATTTCAATAACCTAATACCTCATGAGCTATCAAAGGCTAACAGAATTTGCTTCTTCTTCAGAGAGTTCTGCTCTGAATGATTCGATCAAGTTGGAATTGTTATCTTTTGTTAAAAGGCTTCAACAACATCCGTTGGGCTCGGAAATGAATTATCGGGATGAGAAGAAATTATTTGGAAAGGCACACCGGAGTGTATTCAGTGCAGATTCCTTATTGAAGATTATTGAGAAGGAATGTCAAGTAGATCAGAAAGGAGCAGAGAAAATTGCGAATTCCATGATTGAACATGAAATGATCATTTGCACTTCTGATGGAAAGAAGAAACACATGATTCGAGATGGAAAGTTATTTAAATTTACACAAAAGTATTTGCCTAGAATGGTTATTTTGGGAGGAGGACATGCAGGAGTAAGTGTTGTTGATAGCTCTCTCAAATCGATCTGAACGAATTTTCAAACATGTTGAAATGAAATTGATTCAAAATTGTTGGAATATCACATTCATGAACATGTAAATGATAGATCACTGTAGCTCAAAACTTGTACGAATATTTCAACATTATCCTTATTGACAAGAATGACGTTTCAAGTTTGAAACCTTCTCACCCCATTGTGTTAGAAAAAGAGGAGCATGCAGAGAAAATTTCTGTTCAACTTTCAGAAGTGATGAAAAATAGGGGGACATTCATTCGTGGCTTAGTGAGGCATGTGACACCCAATGGAGTATTCATTGAAACATCGAACACTACTTTTGAATTTGACTCTTTGGATTCTACGCAAGTCGACGACAAAATTTCACAAAATTGCAAATTTCTGAAATTTGAATATTTGGTCATTGCCACAGGATCCTCTTCTTGGAAAAACAAATTAGATTTTACACAAGACAACCATCCAGATAACAAGATTCACTACGTAGATCCTTACTCGTTAGAAAGTGTGAAATCTTCCGTGCCTCTTCTCAAAAGCGACTCGACAAAGAAAATTGTATTGATTGGTGGTGGATTTATTGGTGTAGAATTTACTGGTTCCCTAGCCTTTTCTTACCCAAAGAGAGAATTTATTCTCATCCAACGAGGTGACATGCTCATGAAACCTTCAGAAGCGGCACACAAGGTCGTGTCAGATGATTTCAAAAAATTCAAAAATCTCAAAGTCATGTTCAATTCACAAGTGACATCTCAGAAGGATGGAAATACTCTTGTGGTCAAGACCAGTGACACCAAAAATCAGCAACAAGATGGCTCTGAGGAGGTAGAAATTGATTGCGCTGTTTGTTACTTGTGTAGCGGAGGTAAACCCAACACGGACATGTTAAAAGGATCTGTTTTTGAGTCTGTTCTGGATGACAGAGGATATATTAAGGTGAACAAACATTTTCAACTTTTGGATCCAAGTGACAATACCAAATATTTGAGAAATATCTTTGCTCTCAGTGATGTGAATAATTTAGAAGTTGACAAGTTAATGCAAAATGCCAGGCTTCAATCAGCCACGTTTACAGACGTTGCTAAATTACTCGTTCAACACTCGAAAGAATCTCTGCCATCCTATGACGTTGATGTGCGAGTGAAGGCAGCCAGTGTTGGTCCCAAACACGGCTTTGTGATTAAGGAAGAAAAAGTGTTATTTTCCTCATTTATGGTCAACAAATTGAAAGGAGTTTTGGAAACGACCGTCATGAAACAATATCGTAAAACGGATTAAAGATATATCCACAAGTGTGTGAATTTAATAATTTCTCCTGTTCTCTTCATGGATCAGAACTGATCAAGTAATACAGAGCTCGAAATTTTACAAAATACAAGTAAATGTTTGTACAAAATTGAATCTAATGACATTTCAAAATTGAAAAAAACAAAATTGAAAACTCATCGCCATGGTCATGTCGTATGGTACTCATCATCTCACCACTCCTCCAATCCAAATAATTTCTTTCCAATAGGCGACGGCACAAATTCTCGAGGCATTTGTTGAAGAATCAATTGTCTTCGCATTTCAAAAAAGTTGGTTTTTGAATTCTCATTCACCATCACACTCGAATCCATATACTTTTCACATTTAAACATTCGAATGTACTGAACCATATGAAATCGATCCGAGTCATTGGGATAGGTACAAGTTGGAATGCGCGAATCCCATACCAACAAGGCTCCTGCTGGCAATGAAATTGCTTTTGCATACGGATACAAATCATACGAAAGTGGCACTTTGATGAACGATTCTTGATGTTCTGTGAGTGTGCCAAATCGTTTATAGGTTGCTTTGGTCCACGTGAGAAAATTATCGGGCGCGTGAAAACTCGGAACTAACATGAGACCGCCATCCTGCTCACGCGAATCCACAAAATTAATCAAGCCTTGTAATTTCCATTCGTCGCGTAAATAGTCATGGGCGGGATTTGAAGTGTAGGCGTTGGGATCCATCACTGGAAAAATTCCATAATCTTCATTGAGCAAGAATTTTCTGGGAGTGCTACTCTTTAAGCAATGCATGGCTTTTTCACAGGGAGAATGTTTGGAAGAGGGTTTCTTTTTGGATTTTCCAGAGGAGGTTCCAATTTCCATGGAAATTAAAGAATTTTTTCCATTGCTGAGAGAAGGTTCTGAAAAATTGGATAAAGTCGAAGTGGAGGCATGATGATCAGTGAGAGGACTTGAAATTAATCCTCCAGTTCCGCTTCCAGAAATTTCCGAAAATGTAGAATTTTGTGTTCCTAAATTTGGTAATAAATCCAAGCTACTTGAATTCAAATGTTTTTGTAAATTCGTATTCAGTGTTTGATATTGTTTGTAGAGTTTCCAGGGATTGAGTCTCCAATGTAACCAATTCGATTTTGTTTTGTATTGAGGAAAATCTTTTCGAGTTTTTCCATCCTTGCATAAAACATCTTTGGTCGGCTTCATGACACCGTACGTGTCGAATCCGACCCATAATTTGTTACAATTATTCATGAGAAGATTAAATATTCGGTAAATGTTTTCATTTTGTCGATTTTCCATGGCACAAATTCCCTATTTCGAAAACGAACGTTTGTGAAAATCATGACAAGAGAATAAAATCCAAAATTCAGGTTGCCGTTTCAATTTTAAAATTATGTTGTTGTAGAAATAATTTTGAAATTCACCATGATTGTAAAATTTTTACAATTTTTCCAATAGTTGACAGATTATTCAAAAATAATAATAATTTTCACAAACATAAAATAAATTGATCATAATTACTTGTCTTTCACTTACCATTGCAGGTTGATTTCCCAAAATTCCCACATTATCAAACTCTGGCCATCCACATTCCTCTCGCCACGTCGTTGGATCATTTCTCTGCACCGGTGTAAATCCACTATTAGAATTCCCATTCGAATTCGATTCTACATTCGATTTGACACATTCCGCACTTGCATGAAATTGTCTCAAACTTTCAATGATGGATTTCGTCGAATCATCCGTTCCCTCAATAATCCTCCAAATTTCTTCAATACTTTGCTCAATTTCTTGTTCGGACAAGACATTCCGAACCACGACAAAACCATACTTTTCAAAAAATGTTTTAATTTCATCCAATTCATCCAATGTGAAATTTTGAGTATAGAGTCCATCACTCGTTTTTGGAAGACTTGCTGGAATGGCAGTGTTATTCATGGAAATTCCTGAAATTCCATTGTGGGAATGAGAGGAAGCAAGAGGGGAGTTTGTTTCTTTTTTTTTTGAGGATTTGAACATTTTGAAGGAAGTTTTGAATTTGTTGGTCGGAGAAGGAGGAGGAGAAGGCGGAGATTTTGGTTCCGAAGATGAAGTGATCGAATCAGTCGTAGTGCTAGTGCTTGTAGTGGAGCTAGTACTTGTGGTCGATTCTGTCGTTTGATGTTGTCCCATAGTGTGTTGGTTGTTGTTGTTTTACGATGTTGTTAAAAAATATATTGTTAAATAAAGTGTCAAAATGTTGTTGCAATAAGATTACAATAATAATATTAATAATAATATTATGAAGTGTGTGTCTGTGTTGAATCTTTTTTTCAATGATGAAATTGGAAAATGAAAAACAATAAAAACAGAATGAAGGTTTTTCGGAAGATGTTGATGATGAAAATTATTTTCCGTGAAATGTCAAGACTCGCACAAATTGTTGTTCAATAATTATTATTTGGATTCGTTTGAATGATGAATGAGAATATTACAAGAGGTTTCGTGGAGAGGTTTCGGCTTGGTCTCATGCAACACAGTCGACGATTTGCAAATTCGACTCAAGCGAG